TTTTCAGGTCCCTGGAAGTATCTCTGAAAACAGCTGCACAAAACCACTGAAGCTTGGGACAGTACATTCTCCCCACTGGAAGCAGACTCCTACCTTAACAAAGAGTTTATAACCCAAGTAATTGGCTGGGATCATGAGCAAGCAGCGCAAAAAGAGTCAAATTATGTTATCTTACTTTGGTGACAAAGAAGATCAAAACATACAACCAAAAGAAGACAACAAAGCCAAAGCTTCTACATCCAAAGCCTCCAAAAAAAATATGAATCAGTCCCAGGCCTTGGAAGAGCTCAAAAGGAATTTTGAGAAACAAGGAAGAGAAGTAGAGGAAAAACTGAGAGTGATGCAAGAAAATCATGAGAAGAAAGCTAACAGCTTGCTAAAGGAGACCCAAAAAAATACTGAAGAAAATAACACCTTAAAAAATAGCCTAACCCAAATGGCAAAAGAGGTCCAAAAAGCCAATGAAGAGAAGAATGCCTTAAAAAGCAAAATTGGCCAAATGGAAAAGGAAGTCCAAAAGCTTACTGAAGAAAATATTTCCTTAAAAATTAGAAGGGAGCAATTGGAAGCTGGTGACTTTATGAGAAATCAAGACACTGTAAAACAAATTCAAAAGAATGAAAAAATAGAAGAGAATGTGAAATATCTCATTGGAAAAACAACTGACATGGAAAATAGATCCAGGAGAGAGAATTTAAAAATATTGGATTATCTGAAAGCCATGATCAAAAAAAGAGCCTAGACATCATCTTTCAAGAAATTTTCAAGGAAAGCTGCCCTGATATTTTAGCACCAGAGGGCATAATAGAAATTGAAAGAATCCACTGATCTCCTCCTGAAAGAGATCCCCAAAGGAAAACTCCTGGAAATATTGTAGCCAGATTCCAGAGTTACCAGGTCAAGGAGAAAATATTGCAAGCAGCCAGAAAGAAACAATTCAAGTATTGTGGAAACGCAATCAAGATAACACAGAAGATTTAGCTGCTTCTACATTAAGGGACCGCAGGGCTTGGAATATAATATTCCAGAGGACAAAGGAGATAGGATTACAACCAAGAATCACCTACCCAGCAAAACTGAGCATAATCCTTCAGGGGAAAAAATGGTCGTTCAGTGAAATAGAGGACTTTCAAGCATTCTTGATGAAAAGACCAGAGCTGAATAGAAAATTTGACTTTCAGATACAAGACTCAAGAGAAACATGAAGAGGTAAACAGGAAAGAGAAATCATAAAAGACTTATTAAGGCAGAACTGTTTACATTCTGCATGGAAAGATGATATTTGTAACTCATGAGTCCTTTGTCAGTATCAGAGTCGTTGGAGGGAAAAAATATGTATTAGATAGATAGATAGATAGATAGCTATAGATAGATAGATAGACATAAATAGAGGGCACAGGGTGAGTTGAAGATGAAGGGGTGATATCTGGCAAATAAAATTAAGGGATGAGAGAGGATTATACTGGGAGAAGGAGAAAGGGAGAGGTAGAATGGGGTAAATTATCTCACATAAAACAGACAAGAAAAGTCTTTTACAGTGGAGGGGAAGTGGGGGAAGGTGACAGGGAATGAGTGAATCTTATTCTCATTGAATTTGGCTTAAGGAGAGCACAATATACACACTCAATTGGGTATGGAAAGCTATTTAACCCTATAGAAAATAGGGGGAGAAGAGGACAAGAGAGCAGGAGGATGATAGAGGGGAGGGCAAATTGGGGGAGGGGTTAATCAGAAGCAAAAACTTCTAGAGAGGGACAGGGTCAAAAGAAAGAATAGAATAAATGGGGGGGGAATAGGATGAAGGGAAATATACTTGGTTTTTCACAACATGACTACTATGGAAGTGTTTTGCATGACTACACATGTAATAACCTGTATGGAGTTGTTTGCCTTCTCAATGAAGGTGGGTGGGGAGGGAGGAAGGGAAAAAATTTGGAACCCAAAATTTTAAAAACAAAAGATAAAAAAAAAATTTGTTTTCACATGCAACTGGAAAGTAAGATATATAGGCAATGGGGTATAGAAATCTATCCTGCCCTACAGGAAAATTGAAGGGGAAGGAGATAAGAGAAGGAGAGGAGAGATAGAAGGGAGGACAGATTAGGGGTATTCAGAACGCATGCCATTTTGAGGTGGAGGGAGAGATGAGATGTGAAGAAAATTTGGAATTCAAAATCTTGTGGAAGTAAATGTTGAAAACTAAAAATAAATAATTTTTTTAAAAAAAGAAAAGGATGTTCACAGAAAGCTTAGATGAGCAGCCTAGCATATTGATGGAACACTTTTGTAGACTGATTAAACACTATATAGCAAGAATAAAAAGTTGTCCTACAGGAAGGAAGGAACAGAAATCCCTTGTCTAACTTTTCTTTTGGAAGTGGTAGGAATCCTTTCACCCTTCCTCTCTTAGGAGGATCCTTTCATATTATCAAATCCAGCTGTGTGGGCAATGATGTACCCAGGTAACCTTGCAAAATTATAAGGATCCAAGGTATTTTGACACCATGGTATCTGAACATGTTTTTAACTGTGCTCAGTAATCAGATGAAGAAAAGTAGAAATATTAAGTCAAAAGTCCTTGGTGTCCATTATAGAGCCATTAGCCTGTACAGAAATGCTCAACCGATAATTATTGGATTAAATTTGTTATTCTGTGGCTACCATGTGCGTTATTTTAAACCCTGATAATGGAATTTCAATGGTGGTGCTATATGTTGTCTTGCTCAGAAACATAATCAATATATGTGTGTATGTGTGTATCACAATCACATACAAATGAACTTAGTGTTTCAAGACACATTGTTTTAGTGGGCCTCTCTTGTTGAACTACAGGAGTATTGAGCAAACAGGAAGCTGTGTTGAATTTTAGGTACTTTGTGAGGCAGTCTGTCAGTCAACAAACATTGATTTAAAGTTACCGTTTAAAGGAATGTTATCAGATTGCGGGATGGGGAGTTGGGGAGAAGGGGGAGAGTTTTTTGTTTGCTTCTTAAAGCAAATCTAGAATATTCTATAAAAAAGGTTAGTCATCTAGTTTTACATTTTCTAGTTAGTTTCTAAACATCAATTAGAGACATATCATTTCTTAGAGATTTAGGCATGTGATCCTTGCATAGCTTTGAGACAGAGCATAGGTGGTATTTGAAATGCTTATGTAAGGCTGATATATTTAAGGTTTACCACAACTGATTAATACTCAAACATTCTCACAAGTTTCTAAAACTCCTTATTTTTTAACAGCTACTCATTTTAGGATATTGATGGTATTTTACTTCACTCAATCAATCAAATATTTATTAAGTGCCTACTATGTGCCAAGCATTATACTAAGCTTCTTTTATATATCCTTTTAAAGGACTAAGGATAAGGTCAGGTCTGTGAAAGTATTCATTGAGTTTTGTGTTTTGTGCCCAATTCAGACTTAGAGTGTTGAATTTATAAGGTTTATTTCCCAGACTTTGCAAAACCAGACCAGATTGAGTTTGTGAAATTCGCTTAGTTCCAGGAATTCTTTGGGTAATTTGAGTACTTGCCAATTGATCTGGAAATTAGTTGGTCATTCTTGTAATTTACCTCCAAAAGGAAGTATTGTCTGGTGCTGTCATCAAGGGATTAGAAATCTTGGGTTCTTTTTATATTTGTTTGGTTTAAAAAAAACAAACTCTATAGTGCAGGACTCTTACACAACTCTTTATTTATCCTATTTAAGACCACTACCCTTATATTTGCTTTTTTTGCTGTAGTAAGTCTATGAGAAACTGTTGACTAAATAATTAATTCCCTATTCTTTTAGGCTTTTTAGGTGAATTCTTGAATCAATATAGTCCTCTAAGGACCTAGGACAAAAGGTCTATATGTTTTGTTAGAGTATAGCTTTACTAATCAAGATAGGGAGCCATATTGGGGGCGGGCATGCTGATGGAATAAGAATGAGAAATTTAAACTTCCATGGCTTCATTCAAATCTCAACTAAAATTCCCCCTTCTCCAGGAAGCCTTTCATTAGTTATCAAACTTAATTCTAGTGCCTTCCCTCTTTTGATTATTTTCAATTTATCCTGTATATAGCTTGTTTATATGTAGTGATTTTTTAATGTTGTCTCATTTATTAAACTGTGAGCTTGGAGAAGGGGGGTGACTGTGTGCTGTCTTTTGCTTTCTTTACATTCCCAGCACTTAACACATTGCCTAACACATAATAGTCACTTAATAAATGTTTATTGACTTACTGACTGACTTTATTTTATGCTAGCTCCTGGTGCTGTGGGAATAGCTGACAGTATTGCTCCGGTTGAGCGTCTAGGACTAGTACATTCTGTTTTGTTATATCCCTGGAGGCTCTCCTATAAAAAAGTGACTTTATATGTCACCTTGGGCATAAGGTAAGAATTCTAGGAGCACAGGTGACCTTTAAGGGGAAAAAATCAATTGAGTATTTCACATGGAGGTATCTTTGCTATATCTTTATGCGTTAGCATAGGTGAGTTGTTTTATAAATTCACAGGGTCCCTAACTGCCATTGCCAAGTACATCTATTGGACAATTAATTAGTTCCTGAAATGCACCTTACTCTTACCAGAGGTCAGGTTAAAAAAATGCAAAACTGTCAACCACATAAAATACATTTATGATATTGTTCTCCTTGGGTTGCAGGCCACAGTTTGGTCCGTTTTAGCTTGTTAATTTAGATTATGATTCAAGAGACTAAGAAGAAACTAGAGTTCATTAGACTGCAAGCTTCTTCAGAGTAGTGATTGTTTTGCTTTCCTTTGTATCTGCAGCACTTAGCATAGTGCCTGGTACACAGTAGGTGCTTAATAAATGCAAATTGACTGACTGGACCGTATGTTTATAAAAACCTTGAGGGCAAGAATTTTTCCAATGTATTTCTCCTATTCACCCCCACCCCTACCCTGCCAATAGTACTGGCAAATTGCATCTTTTTTGATTTAAGTTGCTTCTGTCATCCATTGAGGTGAAATTTCTTGTTTTATTTCACAGCAAAGAGCTCCAGGGAAGGTGTTGCTGGATGCAGTTTGTAACCACCTAAACCTAGTTGAAGGAGACTACTTTGGCCTTGAGTTTCCAGATCATAAAAAGATCACGGTAGGTGAAATAATGTTAATCCTTCATTCAGTTTATAAGTCATCAGATTTGGGGGATAGGCATCAATCATATGCTTATAGGTAAAAGAATAATTACTCCCATCCTCAAATGCCCTTCTTTTCTCCAGGTCCCATTTTTGTTTCTTTTGCTTTTAATAATGAAGGGTATGACCTTAAAATCTCTTGTGTCAAATACCATCCCAAAAAAAAAATTCAAGAGGCTATGGGCAAAACCTACCATAGCAATCATGGTCCCATCCAGTTATGGGAAAAGGAACAGAATGCTAACAGGAAGCTAATAAGATAAAAAAACATTCATGTTACACCACCCTCTAAACATACATCTATAATAATCTCTTTTATTAGTATGGCATATGACTGTACCTATCAAATTTCCTCTATAACACATAATCATCCTGTACTTCCATTATGTTATGATTTCCCCCCATTCACTCTGAATTGTAAAATGTTGATTCTATAGAAGGGTCCCATGAAACTATCATTTATAGGCCTTATCATGCTTTAATTTTTAGGATTTTGAATTCTTCTTATACTATACATATTTATGGCAATTTTAAACTTAATTATTAAATACAGCATGTCTTATATTATCATAGTGTGCATATAAAAGGCTTAAAAGTCCTGAATCCTCAAATGTAAAACTTTAATATTCAATCTTGACATTATTACAGAACTTTTCACGTGTTTTCTGACCTGATATGTTACCTACTCTAGGGGCTACATATGATTTTGCCCCATTTGAATTTAGAATTGGACAATTATGTTCAACCCTACTTTTTCCCTCCTTTAAATCTGGAACTCCAGTTCTGCCCTTTTGCAGAGGTGGATTTAACAGGTTATTAAATATTGTGCATATTTTCAAACATTTTTCAATGTATTGATTAGTTAAGCTGATTTCTCCCCTTTTTCTTTTTTCTTTTTTGTCTTTAAAATCAAAACAGCAACAACAACAACAAAAAACCAAAGGATGACTCCCTCAGAAGAGGTTGGGAAGGGATAGTTGGGGAAATTATGTAGATTTTTTTTTAAAAAAAATCAATAAAAGCCAATTTTTAAAATAAAACATGTCTTCGCATGGGATTTTTGTAAATATTCAGACATGCATATTTTGTGCTAATGCAGGACTTACTGATTTGTATTTTGTGGGAGAAGAGGAAGGGGCTACATTGTGAACTTTGGGAATCACAGTAGCAATAAAAGAAATGAATTCAGAATCCCTATTTCTTTTTATGATCAAATTTGTGTTAGTGGATTTAAACTGCTTGGCCAATCCTAAATGTGAGTTGATATTGTGGTTACTATTTTTATTATTTCTAAGTAGGTGAGAAAGTAACTGTATTCTAAGCTGATTTAGTATAATTTATATTATTTTCATGAAACTGTCTCTTTATATTTTGCCCCTTTGCCCATGACCATAACTGAGCAAACTTCACCTGCTGTTGCTTCCCACTAGCAGTTTGGTTGCTGATCCATAATGGTGACTTTGTTTAAAGACTAGCACTATTTCTTTTTTTTTTAATTTTATCTATTTTGTTTGGAACTTAACAAATTAAACAAGCATTTCTAAAGCATAGTAGAATAGGAAAAAAAAGATGCATATGAAACTGCAAGTCTATTATATACAACTTGCTGTTACTTTTAAATATGTAATAAGGTAACTGTGTAACTTTTTCCCTTATTTTCTTCCTTCTCCCCCACCTTCACCCTAGAAGTGGCTATTTCTTAAATATTATTTTTTCTTTATTTGTGTCTAATGATAGCCATGTCTATGGTGTGAGGTGGGGGAGGGAAGGAAAACAAAGAAATTTACATGATAACCATTATATTTAAAAGGAATAGCAAGCAGTACATAATAGATTTACAATTTCATGCACAATCATCATTTTTATTATACTGTGTTATGGAAATGCTTGTTTTATAGCATAAATTAAAAAAAATAAAATAAAAAGTATGAGAACCCCAAAATCCTTCACTATAACTTCAAATTGTCAAATTCACCTAAGACTAGTCAAGAGATAGAATCTTCATATCACAAACCCATGCTGATTCTGTAATAATAGTCATCAACAACATTTGATTTGATGGAAAGGGCAAAATGAGATGATTTTTTTAAAGTTCCATTTTATGTTGCCCAGACCTGCATTTTTCAAAACCACATGCCTAGTTGGCTCACACTGGTGTTTGTGTTTGGTGGTTTTCACAAAAATGCCAAAGACTGAATAGAGTTGTTGTTGCTGTTTGAAAACAGTTTTAAAAATGTTGCCAAAAATAGTTACTTTGTCCTGAATTGCTTGCAAAATGCTTTTTTTCTTTTTGATCTGCACGTGTCTGTGATTTCACTTACGTAGGGAGATTCCCATGAACAACCTCACTTTCCGAATGCAGTTCTGCCACTGTTAGGCAGCTTAGAGACTTAGGGACTTGCCTAGGGTTCTTAGACATTAAATGCCCAGAGTCACTCAGCCAGTCTGAGTAAGAGAAGACCAGGTCTTTGGGTACCATGCCTCTCTCCTCTTCAACATAGATAAGTAGAAAATACAGAGGTAATATGAAGTATCAGAGATTAGTGATAACATTTTATTTCCATTTTAAGACTATATAGTCTATGAACATCAATATAGCTAATTGAAAGGATGTTTAATACTATAATTTCATCTTTCCTTTTTCTTGGGGGAGAGGATTGGCAAAGGGCTGGAAAAGTGTATAGTGAGTGGTAAGGATAATATAATTATAAAATCTTACTAATTTAGATCTAATAAGAAAGAAGGCTAGCATGAATTAGTGAAGTAAAGATTATAGAATCAATGAATTAGAATATTTTAAAGGAAAGTAATTTTTATTAATTCCAAGCATATAAAGTAAAAACTAATCACTAGCAGAATATTATTGGGTAGAGAGACCTTACCAAATTTGTTTTAATGAATAGAGAAGATTAATTTATAATTATAGTAAAATCCTGTTACATAAGAAATCATTGTGTTAGTATCTTAACAGTTTATAATTTTAGGTGGTTCTTTTAAATATATGTGCATGTGGTCTTTTTATGCCATTAATTTGAGAATAAACTCAACTCAGTGTGAGGTGGGAAGATAAATTTCATGTCAGTCCACATCAAACTGGACTAGTGGCTTCTCTCAGAATTTGACATTCCACTGCCCCTTCATTGCACAAAGTATTCCCCATGCCTAGATTGCCCTCTTTCCTCATATGTACCTCTCAGAATCCTTATATTCCTTCAAGGCTCAGCCTTTTCTTATAATTCCTTCAGTTGGTAGGGAATTCACCTTCAATAAAGCCACAGAAGTACCTATACAAAAACCAGTAAGGATCTTATGTTATATTAGAGGGAGCCTTGTATATACCTATGGTTTTTGGAGTTGTTTTTTAAGCAGTCTTGTGATTTCTTCTGTGCAGAGGTCTCTCAGTGAAAAGCTCCCATTACACATGCAGATTGGAAACTTTTCTTCAACTTACACTTTTATAGAGTTACCTAGAGTATTGAGAAGTTAAGTGACTTGCCCAGGATCACAACAGTCTGTATAAAAGAGAGGAGAATAATCCAAGTCTAGCTGACTTCAGGCTGAGCTCTCTACCTATTACACTGTTCCTTGACACATAATTATCTTCCTTAAATCACCCTATATTTGCTTATCTGTGAGGATGATGTATGCCTCCAGTGAGAATGAGTTCCTTGAGAGTAGGGACAATGTAATTTTTGTCTTTATATCTCTAGTGCTTGGCATAGTGCTTTGCCATAGTACATGCTGAATGGATGTTTGTTAAATTGACGTTCACAAAATCCAAATTAGTGGAATCCACATTAATTTAGGTTGGTAAAGAGGGGAAAGTGATGAATCTACTTTTTAGAAGTAAACTGGATCAATATTCAATAAATTTCCCCTCATTTAAAACTTGTCCTTCACATTTGAAAGGTGTCACACTGGAATACTTTTTGTTTATTTGAGAGACGGGAGACATGCACGCTTCACAGAGCTCACAACCAGGACTGATGTTTTCTGAATTGTTGGCAAAGATGAAGTGCAAATGAAGAGTAAAATTCCTAGTCTGCTCTGTTAGTCACTTGTGGAGTTGAGACTAGGTTTTGATTTTCAGGATCATTCTTAGCAGTAGCAGATTAGCTTATTCTGTTCCATGAAAATAGCAGACAATGCAAGAAATCTTGTTCTGGAAAATTAAGTAGCAGATGGTCCAAAATACACTGAAAAAATATTTTGAATTTCGACAGATTTGAGCAATCTGAAAATGTTTGTAATCATTCATTAGGAGCTAATGTCTCAATCTGCTATTCTTTTAGGTATGGCTGGATCTTTTAAAACCTATTGTGAAACAGATCAGAAGTAAGTATATTTATCTATTTAACAGTGCTGGTAAATGCTGAATTAGAAGTAGCTTTTTTTTTACATAGTTAAACATCTATGTTTTTTGGAGGGTGGTTTGGTTTTTTTTTCCTAATCTCTTTGGTTGTCTTTCATCATCCAGCATGCTATGATCTTTGAAAATTATACTGTTTTAAATGTAACAAGTTGGCAATCAGAAACTGATTTTGCAAACCAAAAATATCTTTGATTAGTAACTAGCACATATCATTAAGGCGAAGAGTAATTTGGTCTGTCATACACACACACACACACACACACACACACACACACACATATTTATTACTGGCATCTTGGAGGAGGAGAAAGGAAGGGTATTACTCATGAAATACTTTTTAGCTCTCATATTCTGTTGCCACTTCTAAATCTCACCTTTTTAAAAAGTCTATAAAATCAAGGTGTGAAGAGTTAACATCAAGTGTAAAAGTCTATGCTGTGATTTTTTTTTTATTGTGAGCAACTCTCTGAAAGGAGGCCTATCTTCATACTCTCCACTGAATATGAATTTTGTGTTCAACTTTTCAAAATTTAATTGGAGAAGCTACAAATGTAGAAGATGAAATATGCTCATTCACTCATTTAGTTAACAGTTACTGGGATTGTTTAGTAATTCTCTTATTTCTCATGGGCACATATGAAAGAGAAGACACATTAATCCTTGTCCTAAGGAAGTTTACAGTCTAAAAGTGTTGTAGTCGAAACATTTAATTTTTATATGAAATAAAGATGGTCACTTTTTTTTAGAATTGTAAAGGTGCCTATTTAATGAGCATGAAAATATGAAATTCAGGATAGCAAAATCCCCACAATGTACCTTCATTTCAGAAGTGGTTTGCCCTTAATAAATGTGTTGCAGTAACTCTTTTGAGGAATATTTGCTTTGTTTCAGAAAATTTGATTTGACCACAGAAACAGAAGGGTCACCTTCTGGTTAGCATTACTGTCTACCTAGCTCTAGTATTTCCCAGGCAATCTAAGGAAAGAGCCCGGTCGTGATTTAGTTTCCATGGAAATCATTGAGGGGAGTTTAAGTGTCTTACTCTTTGACTGTATTAGATATACAATATAGCAACTGAGATAGGAGGAAACATTCTGTGTTCACTTTCATAAACCTACTGAAAAAAGCCCTCTACTCAACTTTTGATGAATTTATTTTATTTCTGTATTTAGAGTCTCTAGTTTTTTTGGATTTTTGTGAATATGCTTTTCCTTCTGTTTCTTATATCTGTGTCTAAAATTCTCTATGTGATCACAGAAAATTAGAATCCAGTACCACACCTCTTGTGTCAGAAGAAAGCAGGACTAAATCTTTCCCACTTCTATTTCCTTTGGAAAATTCATGTGAGGAGTTTATTCACTGATATGTATTTTGATGTGTGAATTCAGTTCCAACATTGAAAATCTTGGAACTGATGGGAGACTTCATTTGATTTATAGAACACAACCCTAAACTGTGACCTGCTTTACACAACTTTACATCCAAAAAATAAAAATGTCCTATGTTTACATCTTAGCCCCATATCCTTTCCAACATACTTAATAAATCTTTTTTATAGAAAATTTTAAAAATCAAGAGTTTATTTCAATTTTCAATTTATGTTCTTTCTGTTTTTTTTTATTTAAAACTACAATGTTTATTATAGAATTGGCAGTCAGTAAATCATTTCTGGGACATTGTGGAAGCTCTGTTCTCTTAGAAATAAATGCTCCGCTTGGAGAACTTAAAGATGACTTCTTTTCCATTTCCCTTAGGGCCAAAGCATGTTGTTGTTAAATTTGTGGTGAAATTCTTTCCACCTGACCATGCTCAACTTCAAGAGGAACTTACAAGGTTAGTATGTAAGTGTATTCTGTTAGTGGCAATTGTAGTTTTTATGGTATTTACTGGACCAACATTTGCTCTCATATTTAACCCACAATTTACATATAAGAAATTTGTCCTTTTTACCTAGTCTGCTTTTTACAAAAATGATTTTAAGTGGATTAAATGTGATTAAACATGGGATGTTTTATATGTTTGCTTTTTTTTTAGATATTCTTTCATTATGCCTTAAAACAATTCTAGTAATTCATTTCTGAAGCCACAGTGTAATCTCAATATCAAAATAGTCTTAATGTGTATTAATGAGAATGGGGGGGGGGATAATGAATAAAGATCTTGCCCCTGGAGTCAGGAAGACCTAAGTTAAGTCTCACCTCTGATACATACTGGCTGTGTGATGGTGGACAGGTTGTTTATCCTCCCAGTGCCGCCGGCAACTCCTTGAGACCATCAAGTTGCAGAGAAAGATATAAAGTATTGGTAGAAGTTCTTCATTGGGAACTCCCTATACTGATGAGAACATAAGTCTGGTTTTTTAAGTGCCATTCTGCTGCAATGCTTTAGGTTATCTGTCATTTCATCTACCTGTGTCCTATCCTCAGTAGTACAGATCTCTTCCCATCCATCAATACCCTCTTATCCTGTGCTACTCTAGTCTGTGTTATCTTTTACAGGAGCCACCTAAAATACCTATTAATGTCTCAGTAGAGTGTATGCTCTCTTCTCTAGAGATGAGTGAGTGTTGTCTTAAATATCAATATTCTCAATAACTTATTTTTCCACTTAGTAACAAAGAGTAGGAACACTCTTTTTCTCAGAGTGCGTAAGCATGAAGCTCGCTGGCCAGGAGAGCATAAGCTACTTCAAGGCCAGGGCCATGTTTTGATTATTTCTTTTTTAATCCTTCGCAGTGCTTAGCACTTACATAATCAATGAATATTTGTTGAATGAATGAATACATAGTGAGGATGGTGCTTTTTAATTTTTTCAGAAGTGACTATCTGATTCACTATTATCAGCTTAAGACTAAAGAAAACAAATATTAATGGGCCGAAATCCTTGGCTTAAAACTCTTGACTTCACAGTCAGCCTTCTGGGGACTTTTTGATTTTTGGTAAAGCTCCCAATTTAGATGAGAGGTTGCAAAATTTAGTGAATACTATGGTGGATAATCCACTTAGGAAGACCTGGGTTCAAATCCCATCTCAGAAATAGCTATGTGAACATCAGCCTATCTCTCTAAGCCTCCATTCCTTTTTTGTTTTTTAAACTAGAAGAGCCTCTTGTGATACTCCAGTGAGATAATGTCTGTCAAGAGCTTTGTAAAAACTTTAATGTGCTACATAAATGGTAGGTTTTTTCCTTTATTATTATCTTGAGGGGCACTTATCCTTTGGACAAGCCTCAGGTCATTTTGGAAGAAAGTTTCCTACCAATCCCTACTGATAGCTTAATACACTTAACTATCTTTGATGATGATATATGACTTGTGATAGTCAGTTTCTATAGTCATGTGAAAGAGTTAGTTAGCAAGCATTTGTTAATCACTTACTGCATGCTAGGCACTATACTAGGCACTAAAGATACAAAGAAAGACAAAAACAAGGGGCTTACACTCTAATGGAGGAGACTATATGTAAATAATTCCATATATACCTGGCATACAGAGTAGAAGGTAGGCAATGTCACAAATGAGTGAAAAAGTATTTTGTTACATGGGTTTGGTTTCCCCAGTTCAATGATCCTCCTTTATTTTTCATTGTGTCCCTTGGTTCAGTTTATGAGGTTTGAGAGGAAAATTATGTTGCATCCATTATTCTGTTCTTTATGGTCACTTTTGAGCATTCCTTTTTTGGAGAAGGAGAGGAGAAGAATCCAGTTCAGTGGGGAGGACTTCTTTTTTTTTAAATTTTTCCCCTATTGAGTTTCTTGATTTATACAATCTTGTACACCTTACTGTTGTCAAACCAAACCTGTGTGAGTACTGCACCAGCTTCTTTATCAGAACAGATAGACATCCGCAGGTCTACATTTTCAGCTGAAGGTATTGAGTTTGCTTTCTTCTGACTCTCACTATGGTCATTAAAAAAAAAATTTCCCATGAGAAAATTGCTCTAGTACAGTGTGAAATAAAACTGATTTGAAATTTTTGATCTATTAAAATCTGATGACAGCAACCAACTGGTGTTGTAAGGTAAATAACATCTGTTCAGTCTCTTGAAATGCTCTGAGAGTCAGTCAGAGCTGCCACAGTGCCAGATTCTTACATCAGCAAAATCAGACTATAAAGCAATTAAGACATAACCTACTTTCTCATTATGAGGGTTTCATGATGTTTTCAGTGTCTCAGGTATGGTTTATACAAGACAAGTAAGGAGGCATTAGAGTTGAGCTGAATGTGAACTCTTCTAATTGTACCATTAATTCTCTGGTCATCCAAGAATTAGTTCTCCCTTCCCATTTATACAGACATAAGATGGAGTGGGTTAAACTTTTCTGTTGAACAAGAAGTAAAATTCCTTCATATTTATTAAATAGCACATTCTGTGTGCTTGAAAACCTGTTCTTTATGTCTAACACGGAAAACTGGGGGGAGAGGAAAAAATATATATATATAAATTTGTTGGGTTTTTTTAATTTTTCAAAGGTCATTTTTTTCCCTCATTCTGGAACCCTAAGTCATTTATTCTGTGTTGACCAGCCTTGACATATTTCTATGTGCAAAGTATCTTTTCTTTCTGTCACAGGGAGCATATTTTTCCTAAAAACAATCACTGATCCCCTCTCCAGCTGGCTATGAGTTTCCTTGTGAATGGGATGGATACTATTTGAAGTGGCTGCTGCAGCTTGCTGACAGATTGAAGCATCAAGTGTTTGCTGTTGTTTTTTCAGACTAGCAGAGAAGTTAGGAATTTCTTCTGTGAAACACACATACCAAAAAAAAAAAAAAAGGACAGAAATTAGATAAGGACTCCCAAGTGAAGCTAAAATAGAAATTTAAGAAGGAAAGCATAAAAATCAGTGTTACTACAACTGTTAGATTCCCTCTTTCCTGCTCAAATTAAGAAGAAAAGGCAATTCTGAGCTATTATCACCAACCAAACCTGCCATTTAAGGTTTAATTCTTCTGGAATGACATTATCTTTGTGTTTTCAGAGTAATTTTGGCAAGCTTCTGATTGTGATATTGTACACACAAACAAAATACCACACTCACTTCTTAGTTCTGATTAATAGTGTCGGAATCAATCAGCAAATGTTTATTCAAAACTTATGTCCCAAGCACTGGGGATACAACTAGGAGATAGTATCAGTCCTCAAGGAACTTTATGTTCTATTGGGGTAAGAGGGTGGAATACAGCCAATGTTCTCAGATAGGTGAGTAAAGGATAAATTCAAAATAAATATAAAATGATGGAGGAGGAGGGACAGATCAACAACTAGGTGAATAAGGAAACTCTTCAATCCACAGTGCTGAGGATTTTGTTTTTTCTTTAGTGTCAGAAATGTTTTCCAGTTACATGGGAAATATTAATGATCTCCTTTGAGGACCCTTTAGAACCATGGGTTTCATTAAGAATATTTATACCTGCAATCAAAATTCTGGGAAAAGACCAGCATCAGATGTGCGCCAGTGCCCCCAGGCAACAGGGGTCTCCAGGCAGCCTGCACAACCTCATGGTATTCCCCAGCTTGGTCACCTGATTGCCTGCACTGGCCAGAGTGTTCCACTTGTGGTAGAGCATTCCAAGTTCCTATTGGTCTGATCAGCCATAGTCAGATACACTGTACCTTAATACTATCTCAGACTCAAAACCCTATAGAGAAGGGAACTTTGGAGTTTTGATGTATATTTGTGGAGAACAGTGCAGAACTTTTCAAGATTCTAAATTTTTTTATTCTATTTTTTTTTTTAAGGCAATTAGGGTTAAGTGATTTGCCCAGGGTCACACAGCTAGTATGTGTTAAGTATTTGGTATGAGGCCGGATTTGAACTCAGGTCCTCCTGACTTCAGGGTCGGTGCTCTATCCACTGTGCCACCTACCTGCCCCGAGTGCAGAACTTTTCAAACAGAGAATTGTGATTTCTGTTTTACATTGGACAAGAATCTTATAGTGTCACAAACCAAACCAAACAAGAAGAGTCATCAGAAAGTTGGGCTGGGGAAGAGGATGGAGAAACAATGGAAATTACTTTGTTTAGTCTTGAAAAAGGCGCTTGGTCCTCTAAAAAGGAATGCTTTCAAACCCAGATAGCACTTAGAGTCTACATAATGACTACTTCCAAATATCAGCAAAGCCTGTGATTCTCCCCATGGATCTTTTCCTGATCACTTATTTGTAAAAACATAAAGAGTATGTTTTTGAAATGGTAAATGCTATAGTATTTGAATTGTAAAATTTTTTAGTACAATAAGGTCCTCTGCTTTTTATTTGAAAAAAAAATTAGCCAAGTAAATGTGAATTTCAACATATCAAAATAGTGGTGTCTTTTTTTAAATAAATGATGCAATCGTTATCTAAAAAGAGATGATACCATGTTGTATACTTCTTCCTTCCCCTTTGTATCTCTGAACTATAGAGATAGTACTACATGTAGTACTGAGTTTACTTTGTTCGTATCCTATTTTTTTTCTCTGGCTTCTTGCTTTCCTTTCTTAATAGATAGAACCCTGGGCAAAAGGTATGTGTGTATATCTGTGTAAAGTGTTGGTCCTAGGGGAAATTTTAAGAGCTACCCTTGAATCTTAAATTTGGAACTCAGAGGCCTTGGGGCACATTTAGTAATTAGCATTAGAAGATGTTATTTCAAGTTTTTATCTAACGTTATTGAGGGAACAAATCATGAAGAAGAGGCCCATCTCCCTCATCACCACAGGCAGCAACTACTGACTAGACACCAATGATGGCTAGATGGGCACTATGGCAGATGAGCATAAGAGCCCTGGAAGTGATAGCATGGTCTTCAATGCAATCATCTGAGGAAACATCTCTTGTGGAGAGAGGGCCAGCCATCCTCACCAGCTGCTGAACAACTGCCACCCACAGGGCAGGTCAGTCAATCTAGCAATAGGACACCCTGAAGGAGAGACAGGAGGCAACGTGTGCCAGGTGAGTCAAATCACCACCACAACCTTGACCACCATCTTCTCTCAGATGCCAGTGGAGACAGACTCAGGAGCCTTTGGAATAACTGTGCTTCTAGCATGTTCCCTTTAGCCTTCACCCTGGGAAGCAAGCCGTGTGAAGATGCAGCCTGGGAATTGCTCCCGCAGGTGTGACAGCTTCATCTACTGAAGACGCAGAAAAGAAAGTCCTTGCCACCAAAGCCCTTGGAACTGTCAAGTCATTAAACATCAGAAATTGATAATGGTTTTATCCACAGAAATTGCATTAGAGAAGAGACGTTGAACTGCTAAGACCTCAAAACCTTTCAATCTGATTTGCAGCTGAAAGCTTTCATACATGCTATCTCCCCATTAGAATGTGAGCTCTTTGAGAACAGGAACTCTCTGAATTTTCTACCTGTATCCCCATTGCTTAGCATAGTGCTTTGTACGTAAAAAGTCCTTAATAAATGCTTATTTATTCCTCTCTCTCTTCCTTCTTCCTTCCTTCCTCTTTCCTTCCTTCCTACCTTCCTTCCTAATTATAATTTCTATTACCATTTTCTAAACCGTATGGGAAGTAATCCTGTGGAGGGTGATTATACTGGTTAGGACTGTAACTTTCAAAATCTAACACAATTATTTCTCATTTTTAAAAAATTTATTGGGGCAGCTGGGTGGCGCAGTGGATAGAGCACTGACCCTGAAGTCAGGAGGACCTGAGTTCAAATCTGGCCTCAGACCAAACACTTGATACTTGCTAGATGTGTGACCCTGGGCAAGTCACTTAACCCTAATTGCCTTAAAAAAAATTTATTATGTGTGCTAACCAATACATTTTTTTCTGAAGAAAAAATAGTAGTACAGTGGGGTAGTACTGGACTTGACTCTATCATTTGCCAATTATGTGGCCTTGCGCAAGTTATTTCATTTCTTGGAGTCTCTGTTTCCTGATCTGTAACATAATAGTTGTTCAAGATTGTCAGGATCAAATGAGATAAAGTATAATTCTGTAGTATGGTTCTAAAACTAGAAGGTACCTCAGAGGCCGTCTCATCCAACCCCTCATTTTAAAGATAGGAAAATTGAGCTCTAAGGAGGTTAAATGGCTTTCCTAAGGTTACACAGGTCGTAAGTGTTAGAGGAAGGATCATAAAGAGGCATGTAAGTATAAGCTATTATTTTTATTTTTAGGTGAGATAGATATTTATGTTGTCACTACTCTTAGCAGAATCTAATTATGATGAATATCAAGTCTAAATTATTCTTGGTTTTGGGTTTGGTCTTTAAGTCCAAGGATTTTTTTCAGTTTTTCTTTGGTTTCTAACTGCGCAGAGAACTTGTTGCCAAGGGAGAGTCTACTCTTAGTGTCTCTTTTCCTGGACTTGGTTGATTCATGTTCTCTTCTGTGTTTACAGGTACCTGTTTGCTCTGCAGGTAAAGCAGGACCTGGCTCAGGGCAGGCTAACATGTAACGAAACCAGTGCTGCGCTCTTGATCTCACACATTGTGCAATGTAAGTCTTAGTCTTTTTCCTTTGAAAAATTAGATAGGCTGATGTATGCCAAACGTGCCTTTGTCCATTGGTATGTGGGGGAGGGCGTGGAGGAAGGAGAGTTCTCTGAGGCACAGGAGGATATGGCTGCCCTGGAGAAAGAGTATGAGGAGGTTGGAGCAGATAGTGCTGAGGGGGAAGATGAAGGGGAGGAATATTAATTTGTGTGTTATCTTTTCCTTTATACTAGGTCTGTCTTTTTTTCTGTTCTGTAAAAATATCCTTTGTGATTATTAAATGTCAATAAAGGTGTGATAACTTGCAAAAAAAATTAGGTAAGAAATGACCCAGGAGTTAGGCACATAAACTGTTATGCTCTTCCTGCACTATTTCCATAGGGGGGAGAAAGAGAGAGAGAGAGAGAGAGAAACCAACCACATAGACTCAGTCACTATGATCATCGCAAATGAATAAAATGAAACATTAATGTATCAAATCTGTATTCTGATGTTTCTTTGACTTCTATGGACTATGCCCCATAAATTTTCTGAAAAATACTTGAAAAAATGACAAATAACTTGTATTGTTTAACTGGGGCTGTGTTTTAGTATTGATATTAGTTATTTATAATAGCCCCTATTAAAGCAAAGACTATCACCAATTCATCCTCTTTTTATGCTGCCTAAAGTAAAACAATACACTTAGAATGACCAATTGAAACTTAGTGATTTCTGAAGGTAGGTATTTTAATTTGTCCTTATCTAGAAATATTAGAAATGAGATTATGGTCATTCTCGTTCAAACCTACTGATAGTCTATCAGAGTTATTTCTAATCAGACAACTTTAAATCATAGGTATTTGAAGTGGAATGTGTGCTTTCTGTTTTTGGGAAGGTCACTTTATGAAAATCAAATGTGAAGCTTTTAAACTATGCCAAAAGAAGATGAAAGTTGTCTTGTCATATCATTTTTAATTACCTTTATATAAAATGCAGCGCTGTGTTCAACACTGTCAAATCTGAATTGCCCAGTTAAGAAGCTTGTCTTGGTTTTAGAGAATAACATCTTTGTCAGTCGTGGGGAAAACTCATTGTTTTTATCCAATAAGATGTGATACTCAAAAGACCTTTCCTTCTTAATCTTGTCTTTGGCAGTTGCTGATACATCTGTTCATTTAAGTTGTTTCCTGCTTTCTGTCAAACAGTCAATATTTATTTGATGCCGACTGTATTTAGTGGGTTCTAGGTGCTTTCTCTTTTTTGTTTAGAGCATTCGTGAAAACAAACAGAGTCAACCTCAGGAACTTGCTGTGTTACTTATGGTTTGATATTTGGTAATATTTTGTTTTTCAGAAGTAAGTTTATTCCACTTTTTATGTGCCAGTCATATATATTGTAATAGGAGCAGGGAATGTTTTAGTACAAAGTGTATTCCCCTCCCTCTGTTTTGGCATTCCCTCAGCTCAAATGATTCATTACTTCTCCTACATAATGTGAAGTTTGAAAACATGACTTGCTTATCTAAGTAGTAACTTCATGAAAAATTACTGAAGCATTTTTTTTCTTTCTTTCTGGAAGAGAAGAAAGCTTGTGATGGTGGGGTGGGGAAGGGAGAAGAATATTCTCCCCATTCTACTTGGATTTCATACTTTTTTTTTCTCTGAAAAGAGTTCTAAATTGTTTTTCCACTGCACTAGACAGACTTCCATGCATTTTATTCATCTGAGGAATAACTTCCTAAATTTTTTTTCATTGTCTTAACACAGAATTCCTATGTACCATTTTAATACAATGAAATTTACTTGTGTATAGAGAAACTGAGAATTCACAAAGCTCCAGAGAACCTTTTTTCTTTCTTTTCTCTCTTTCTCTACTTATCTTTTAAGGATACAATATGGCCCTAAAAATCTCTCACAAATCTTGAATTCTCTAAAGGAAATGACATTTTGGAGTTCAGAGGTACTTATATTTCTGTATATTTACCATATGGTCATGAGAAATACACATTTTCTATCCTTTTATTATTATTGAGAATCTAGAGAATGTAATATAAGGTAGCATCCTTTGCAGTTCACAAGTACTGAATAATTTAAAGGGAAAAAAATCCTCAATGAAAATTTATCTGGTTGGTTGAAATTGTTAAATACTCTATTCATTATTGCAAAGATGGAGGGTGGCCACAAATGCATGGCATAGTCCCATAAGAATACCAGGAGGAATATGAAGCTTATCCTCAGCTGAGACTGGCAAAAAAAAAAAGCTAATAAAAATAAAAATAAGAACTTATATTGGCTGAAAGAGGAGGATCCAGGAAAGAATTGGACTGATATTCCTGGTATGTGAAATGATGATAACCAGTGATTTGGAGACGAAAGAGCTGCTCAGTTATTATTTTCCTACTCTTTTCTCTCCAAAGAAAATGACGTTTGGATTAGGAAGGACAGAACCAAAATGACCATTGAGGACAAGTGGAGAGGTAACAAGACAGCACCTATTGAACTTGGTGAATTCAGTTGACCAGGTCCCAAAGAACTACATCCCAGGCTCAAAGAACTGACTGAGGTGATTGCTACCATGGAGATATTACTGGAACACAGATATAACTGTGCCATACTCTCACCCATACATCTTCAATGGCTTTCTTCTGCCTCTATAATAAAATTCAAAATCCTCATCCTGGCATTTAGAACCCTTCATAATCTAGCTCTTATCTACTTCTCCCATTCTATTTCATATTACATAGCTTCACACACTCTGAAGTTCAAACAAGTTGGCCTGCTAGCTGTTCCCCATACATATGATATTTCATCTTATGCCCCCATTCCTTTCTATAAATGGTCCCCATGTCTGGAATCCATTCCCTCCTCACTTAATCTCTGGCTTCTTTCAAAGTACAGCTGAGGTGCTATCGGCTACATAACACTTTTCTTCATCACCCCCAGTTATTAACACTCTCTGTCTCTTGTAATTTTATCCTTCTGTGTATATTTTGTATGTACTTTTATTGTATCCCATCTCTATCCCCCAGAGAGAATATAAGGTCCTTGAGGGAAACAACTTTTAGTGTATTTTTCCCTTTTGCATCCCCAGTGCCTCACCCAGTATTATGCTCACTTAATAAATATTTGCTTAGTTGAACTGAGTTCTCTGATAGTTAAAAGATTGTAAAGAAAAGTGAGGTCTAGAAGGACTGGAAAAGGCAAATGCTTCAGTTTTCAGAAAGGAAATAGTAATAAGAATTGTTAACGTTTGTGTAGTACTTGAGGAAAAGGCCATTGAGTTAACTTTTGAATCTTGGCAAAATTCTAGAATATATCACCAGAGAAAACAAAGATCATAGAGGCAATATGCTTTCATCAAGAACAGGTTTCTTTTGACATCAATTTCCTTTCATTTTTTTAATAGGGGTACTAGACTTGTAGGTTAGGGGGATGCCATAGTTATAGTTTACTTAGGTTACATGAAAGCTTGGGACAAAGTTTCTCCACTCTATTCTCGTAGAAAAGATGAAGTGATGTTGGCTATAACATAATACAGTTAGTTGATTTTGAAAGATAGCAGAATGACTGGGTCCAGAGACTATTCATTAATGCCTCCACGTCAGCTTATATTGGAGTGTTCCGGGGATCTGTTGTGTTAATATTTTTATCTGTATGCTGATTCAGATCTTTATCAATGACTTCAATAAGGCATAGATGGATGTTTACAAAACTTGCAAATAACAAGAAACTGGAACAAATAGCAAATACATTGACTGACAGATTGAGGCTCTAAATGTTTTGACAAACTGGAACATTGGGCTAGATTTAATAAGATAAAATTCACAAAAATAAATGCCTCTGGGCATTATTTCCAACTGCATATCCCATAGGCATCTCAGTTCAGCCCAAATCTTACTAAAGAAAAATCAACTTTATAAAAACAATGGGGTAAGCATAGTTGTTAGACTTGGAAAAGATCTAGAAGTTTTAATGGATTGTAGACTGAAACAACAGAACAGTGTGCTATGGTAGCTAAAATTACTAATGCATATTGCGTATGTATAACCTATATTAGATTGCTTGCCATCTTGGGGTGGAAGAAAAATTTGTAACTCAAAATCTTTCCAAAAATGAATGTTGAAAATTGTCTTTACATGTAATTGGAAAAAAATTAAATGCCATTAAAAAAGCAGAATCAAAAAATAAAAAATAAAATTACTAATATAATGTTGGACTGCACTGAAAAAGACAGTATCCATGATAATCTTGTACTCTGCTCTTGAGTATTGTGTTCAGTTATGAACGAACAGCACATTTATTAAAGAACATATTATCGACTGATTTGGTGAGCATCCCGAAGAAGATGGTGAAGGGCCTTGAAATTTATTGGAGGAATAAGGACTTTTGACATGAAAACAAGAAGCCTGTGGATATTGGTGAGGGGAAGATATCTGTCTTCAGGTATTTGAAGAATTGTCACTTGGAAGAGATTAAGACTTCCCTTTGAACCAAGGGGGCATAGTTAAAATCAATGGGTGAGAGTTGCAGAAAAACAAATTTAGGTTTAATGTTAGGGAATATGTCCTATTAGAAAGCTGTCTGAAAGTGAAATGGCTGCCTCATGGAATGGTGAGATTCTATCATTTGTTGGGCAGGTTGTAGGTGGAATTCTTTTATGGATATGGATTAGACCAAGGTGGTCTCTGTTGTCAAATCCAAATCAGATTCCATGAATTATCACTTTGTTTTCTTTTTCAAATTCTGTTTAAGACTGGTCATTAAAATCTGAATAATTAGCATTGAAAATTACTTCAAAGTTTCATCTCCTTTTAATCCTCCCTAGCAGCAATTCCAAACCTTCTTTCTTCTAGCTTGCCGCACCCTCTCACCTCCATTCATGTTTTACTGATAAAAAAGAAGTCATTTGCCACAAATTCCTCCTTCTCTACATCTCAGAATTCCTTGGCATCTTTCATGCAGAGGTGGTCCTTCTCCTAAAGGCAGAAACCTCTTATTTATGTATTTAATCATATCTCCTGTCACTTATTGGCATATCACCCTCTATTCATTTCTTCCCTTTCCCTAATCTTCATTCTTTCCATTTCCAGTGGTTTCGTCCTGGCCGTATACAAATGCCCAGTTCTCCATGTCCTTCAAAAATCCATACTAGGCCTAACTCCCCATGCCAAACTAGCATCCTTTCATTTCTCCTTCCTTTCTTAGCCAAACTCATGCTAAAACGCTGTCTACACTCTTTGCCTCCATTTCCTCCCTACTCAGTCATTCATTTCTCTTTGTAGCTTGGCTTCTGACCTCGTATCTCAACTGAAACTGCTGTCTCCTAAATTATCGATCATCTCTTAATTATAAAATCCAATGACTCTTTCTTACCCTTTATCCTTTTTGGCCTCTCTGCAATATTTGGCCTTTCCTCCTGGGATTTTTTGATCTTAGCTCTTCTTCTACCTGTCTGACTATAGCTTCTCATTCTCCTTTGCTGGGTCATCCTCTGTGTCCTGCCGGGTCATCCTTCATGTCCTGCCTCCTAGCTATGGGTGTCCCCTAAAGCTCTTTCCCAGGGTTGGTTTGTTTGTTTGTTTGTTTGTTTCTTTCTTTCTTTCTCTCTCTCTCTCTCCCTCTTTCCTTCCTTTCTTCCTTCCTTTCTTTCTTTCTTTCTTTCTTTCTTCATAGATACTCTCTTTCTTGGTGAATTCACCAATCAATTCCCACAGTCAAATTATCATCTCCTTGCTTTACTAGCACCATATATCCAGTTCTATTCTCTCCTGAGCTCCATTCTCACCAATTGCATGTTCCCACAGACATTTCAAATCCATCACATCCAAAATAGAATTTACTATTTCCCCCCAAAACCTATCCCTCTTTCCACACTTACCTATTTCTGCCAAGGGTAACCATCATCCTTCCAGTCACCCACATATACAGACTTGAAGTCCTTCTCAACTATTCATTCTCCTTCATCCCAGTTTATCAAATAAATTGCCATATCTTGCCAAATTGCCAGTTTATCAAATAAATTGCCAGCATCTCTCACATTTATCCCCTTCTCACTATTCACATGTCTATTACTTTAATTCAGTCTCATTGCAATAGCTATTATGTTATTTACCACTGGTATTCTCTCCCACCTCCAGTTCATCCTATAAAGGTGCTGAAGTAGTATTCTTACAGGTCTGAGCATGTCACTCCCCTGCTCAATAAACTCCACTGGCTCCCTATTGCCTGTAGGGTAAAATAAAAACTTTTCTGTTTGACATGTAGTATCCTTTATAATCTGGTTTCAGTTTACCTTTCTAGCCTTATTATGCCTTACTTGCTTTTATACACTCTCTAGTTTAGTCAAACTGGCCTATTTGTTGACCTTCACACATGACATTCTTTTACCTGTATTTATATCTTTGCAAAGGCAAAAATGCCTAACAGACACTCTCTCCTTACTCCACTTCTTAGAATCCTTAGCTTCCTACAAAGCTTATTAGATCAAAAATACCATCTTCTACATGAGGCCTTTCCTGCTCTCCACATCTACTGATGTCTCCACCCTACTCCACACAGAATAACCTTATACTTACTTTGTATGTATGTTTGACATCTGCTTATATGTATACATGCTGTTTTCTCTGATAGAATATGAGTTGCCTGGGAACAGGAACTATTTATTTTTGACATATCCCCAGCACTAAGCACAATAGTAGGTTCTTAGTAAATATTTTTTGATTGAAAGTCATATATATGTGACTGAAATCTCTATATTTTTTTCCTCTTCCCTCTACCATATAGTAAAATCATCTTTAGGTTAGATTCATTACTAAATTGCTTCTGAACTTGGAATAAAGAAGTTCCAGGTTCAGATCCCCCCAGTGACACTTAATAGTTATTTGTCCATGGAACAAGTCAATAAAACTCTTTAAACCTCAGTTTCTTTTTCTGTAAAGTGGGGCTAATAATACCCCTAGTATTTATCTTCCATGGTTGTCGTGAGATTCAAATGAACTAAAATATGTAAAGTGCTTTGCAGAGCTTTGAAACACTATGCATGTTAGTTACTGTTATCATGATTACTATGTTTTTATGTGTTCTTTCCTGAAGAGATCATAGTTAATTATTTTTCCTAGGGTATCAGTTTCCTACATTTGTGTGGTTGTAGTTGCTTTTCTGTAATATTTAGTGTCTGAATTTCAGTAAAGTGTGATTTTTTATAATCTGTTAAATACAGTTTTTTGCTAAGAGAAGGAAGGGATAGATGTAAATAATGAAATAGGAGTAAGCTCTGAGATGTAGTGGATGAGTTAATTTCTGCCTGTTGTATTCATGTTAACCTTTGAGTCATCTGGTACAAAATGATTGTCTAAAGTATCGTGAAACTATCTCATTTAGCAAAACCTAATTTTATAAAGCCCTATGGCAACAAAAAACGGAACTTTTTTATCTATATGACACAAGACAATAAATGTGGCATACTGTGTATTATAAGTAAAAAATGTGAGGACATTTCAGTAGAAAAGGCTTTCTATTTATGTAGGGCAGAATGGATAGAGGGCACGGCCTGAAGTCAGAAAGATTCATCTTAATGAGTTCAAATCTGGCCTAGACACTAGCTGTGTGACCCTGGGCAAGTCACTTAACCCTGTTTGCCTCAGTTTCTTCATCTGTAAAATAAGCTGGAGAAGGAAGTGGCAAACCGCTCCAGCATCTTCACCAAGAAAACCCCAAAGGGGGCCAGGAAGAGTTGGACATAACTGAAACAACTAAATAACAAATTATATATATATATATGCATAGAAAATAAGAAGATAAACTAATTCAAGGTAGGAAATATGTCATTTTCTGATCTTTGTCTTCTAGAGCTTACCTTCCTTCCAGATACATGGTAGGTGCTTTCATTAAATGACTGTTGATTGATCAAAAAACACAAATTTCTAAGTAAAATTCAGGGAGGGAAAACTGAGATAAGAAAATGAGTTTAGTAGTCAGTAAAATGCTGAAGGCTCTTTTGGGTGGTATATGAAGGACAAATGTTCCAGAGGAGATGAGAATTACAAAAGGTTATTCACCCTGCTGAGACAGGAAAATAATTGGGATTCTTTGTGGTGTGGCTGCTCAATTTTAGAAAAGAGCAATTTAGACAGTCCTTGAAAATTAAATACTTGATAGAAATTCATTGGAAATCTGTGAGGAGCTGTGCACTGCATTCTCTCTTGAGTTCTCCTCTTAGTAGAAGGGAGAAACAATGATGGGGAAGCAAAGGCACTTTATGGTTAAGGCTACCAACTTAGGATGAGAGAGATGATCTGGTCATTATTTTCTATTTCAGTACTTTTTCTGTGATGGAGATTTTAAGAGGGCTTTGGTTTCCCAGATGGCAATTTCAGTCTGTTTAAAGGAAGAGCTATTCAAGAAATCAAGACATGTATCTGGAAATTAGGAAACTGGATGATGTTATTGACCTGTCTGTCGCAAGAAAAGGAAGCAGATGAATGCAGTAAATGGCGCTGCTATTGGTGTGTCTCTGTGGCTGCTATCCTGTGTGAAACAAGCAGACACGATAGGGGTGAAATATGATTGCTGGCTGGGCAGCAGCAGCTTTCATGCCATGTTTGGTGTGATTACAAGAGGTAGATGGCCCCTAAAGTGACATCCAGTCTTGTTTGACAAGGCCCAAAAGATAGGTTACATAGCAACAAGTGACTTACATTTAATCCTCAGAACCGTGACAGATGGGCCTCAGTCTATAATGCAGTGTCTTATTAAGTCTTTCTGAAGACCATGTCACAGAAGGAAAATGGCACACAAGGTTAAGTTTTAACCTGGGACAGTTATGTCTTTAAAATAGTATGGTTTTAATTTCCATATTATAGCAATTTTAAGGCTATGTTATGGTCAAGTGAAAGGATAAAACAATTTCTTATGTTAGAAGGTTAATTTGAAGAACAACTATTTTGACTAGCAAATTTTGTCTTTGAAGTCAAAAAACACTAATGTAAGGTTTTCAAAAAGTAGCTCCCATTTATTACCATATAGTATTAGAGTTTCAGAGCCAGAATGAGCCTTAGAGGTCACCTCGTCAGTATCCTCATTTTACAGATGAGGAAACTTAAAATGTTTCAGTTTTCTATGTAATCAAATTACTTTTAGAAGCTCACTGAAAAATGCAGTATGTAAATTCTGGAATTTCCCATGGGATTTTTAAGGTTCCAAAGGTGGTGACTGAGATGCAGCTGATGCATTTCCAAGAATGTAGGGGAATAGAATTACCTAGTGATATGTCTAGGAGGGAGAGTATTATGCTACCAAGCAATGGGACTGCTAAAGGAGATGCCATCTTTTGAATTTTTTTTGTTACCAGCAGCTAGTCACTGGAATATATGTATTAAAGATGTGTGTACATGGGCAACTTAATTGTAAGCTCTGTGTGTGTGTGTGTGTGTGTGTGTGTGTGTGTGTGTGTGCGCGCGCTTGAGTGCATATAATATAACTATATATGTACACGTGTATGTGTACACACATATGTATGTGTATGTATATACATACATGAAAGTTCAATGGAAATATCCATGGATTTTTTCAAAATCACTTTAGATTCTCGCAGGTAATTAAATCAATCTCCATCATTTCTAAAACATAAGGAAATGAAACAAAGAACTTTGTCCTACATGATCTGTAAAAGGCTCCTCATAGATGAGTCTTCAATTACTCATTCTTTTTTCCAATGTGCACCCAGAAAAACAGCTACACTTAAGTTGCATTATCAAGCAAGAGCAATTATGTTTGACAGCTATGTTTTTGACAATTCAGAACCAGTCAAGTGACAGCTAAATGTGACCTTTGTTTTTTCTTTATTATTTGTTAGCTGAGATTGGGGATTTTGATGAAACAGTAGATCGGGAGCACTTAGCAAAGAACAAGTACATACCTCAGCAAGATGAACTAGAAGATAAAATCGTGGAATTTCACCATAACCACATGTAAGTCTCACTACTTTTGCTTATATTTTCCTATAATTTATTTCTTTATCATAGAATTATAAGGCAAGAAGGGAACTAGGGAGGTCCATTCCTTATCATCCCTATCTTGAGGAATTAACACTCCTAAAATGTTCTGAATAGTTTTCTGGAGGTTTTTATTTGTTTTTAAAAAAAATTGTTAAGACTTCCTGGGAAGGCAGTTCTACAACTTGAGCCGTATTAAAATAGGTAACAATTTTATGGTTCAAAACTTCAGCCTAATATCTGACTTACTATTTCAGGTGAAACCTTTTCCCCTTGCTTTGCTCCTTCATTCTTAGCATGTGGTCTTATTTACATTATTAAGATATGAAGATAAAGAGACATAAGGAGAAGGGAATGGGGAAGGGAAAAGCATTTATGTAGTTCCTATTATGTACCAGGTACTGTGCTAAGTGCTTTACAAATATAGATCCCTTTGCTCATTTCTCTACAGTTTAGAACTTTCGTCATCTCTTGTCCTCTGCCACTTTACTCATCTCAGAGTAAGAAGAAATCTCACTCCTTCTTGCCAAAAGCTAACCTACTGTACCTCTAATTTAGATCCCAACCTTTACCCCAATTTGATCAATTAACCCTCACCTGTCTTTTGTTATATCCCCAATTTTTTAATCTCTGTTGACTCATTCTCCTTTCTCTGTATAAATATGCTTATGTCTTCTCATCCTAAAAAAAAAAACAAACCCCAAAATTAAAAAAAAAAAAACTCTTTCCTTTACCTTGTTAACCTTTTAAGCTGTCATCCTGTCCCTTTCTTTTCTATCACTACTGTTCTAGAAAGAACAGTAAATACATGTTTCCTCCATTTTCTCAACATCCATTCACTCTCCAACCCATTGCAATTTGGTCTCCACCCTGATCCTCACTGCCAGAAACAGTCTTTCTGTCCTGCAAATTCTTCATGTGTAACTTGATCCTTAGGTACAGACACCTAGTCTAATATCATAATAAAAGTTATTCTGGCTTATAAGACCTGCTTACTTAATAGAATTAAATAAGATACTAACTTGATTTTATAGTCACTTCCTTGTTCCATTATTATAACATTTTAAGCATGTGAGATAGTTACAGCAATTATTATTGATTTATTAATGCAACATTTATATTAGTTTATTATTACCATTAGTATTACATTAATTGTTAAGCTATTGCCCATCATGTTTCTAAGGAAAGAGTCTATAAGAGTTGGTGACTGATGAGATGTGAGGGACAAGAAAGAAGGAGATTTGGATGGCTGAAAGAATGTCTTAATGGAAAAAAAATGATAGTAGAGGACAGGAGAACAGGTTTTAAAGGGGAGGACATGGTGGCTTCTACTTTTGACACTTTGAATTTTAGAAGACAGGGGGCATTCATATGGAAACACCCAGAAGGCACTTAGAAATGTAGACATAGGATTGAACAGAGGGATCAGTACAAGATGCATAGTTTTGCAAAATTGTGTACATAAAGATGTTAAATGAAACTATGAAAGTGGTAGAAGTTACAGAGAAATTGTAAAGGAAAATAAGAGAAAAAGGTCAAGAAAACAGCTTCAGAGAATGTTTACATATAGAGGGCTGAAAGGAGAATATCATAGCATAATAAATTTAAAAATGGAAAAGATCTGTTCCAAGTCCTTCGTTTTACAGATCAAATGAGACTAGAGAGCTTAAATGACATTTCCAGGATTATACAGGTAGTAAGGGATGAAGCCAAGATTTGAGTCCCAGTACTCTGACTCCGTGTACACCAACATGCAGAGTGTGACAGAGAAGGGGCAATCACAAAGAAACAAGAAGAGTGAAATATCATGAAAATAAAAGGAAGAGAGAATTTCAAGGTATGTGGAATGATCAACAGTGTGAGTTAGTTGGGAACAAAGAACCTTAGTGATTAAGAGGTGCTTGAGTGAAGTGAGGGAGGAAGTCAAATTCCAAGGACTCAAGGAATGAGAAGACGGTAGAGTAGAAGCAATGAGCGTAACTCACTTTCTAGAGGTTTGATGATGAAAGGAAGGAAGGAGCTAGCTTGATAGCTTGAAGGGGTAACCAGGTTTCTCATTCTAGGAACAGACAATCTAAATTGATTGACAAGAAAGGTTGGTTTCCTCTTATCACTCTAGAATTTGGTCATCGGCTCTGTATGTCCCAATCAACAAATATCGATTGAAGTCTGGAACATATAGCAGTTCTCCATTTCCAGGGGTAATTAGGTCCTGGGAAAAACTGACTCATGATGAACGATTTCTTAAGATGCTAGTTTTGGGCAGCTAGGCGGCACAGTGGATAGAGCACTGGCCCTGGATTCGGGAGGACCTGAGTTCAAATCCGACCTCAGACACATAACACTCATTAGCTGTGTGACCCTGGGCAAGTCAATTCCTTCCCCCCCCCCCCACAAAAGAGGCTAGTTTTAAAAATCCAGAAAGCCAACATAACTGCCAAATGGATATTTATTTGTGTTGGTTAATGGCAAGTTCTCTCTCAGTGGGGAAGTGTATTCAAGAAACCAAATGACTCCAGTAGATCTGGTGGGGATATGTGTATCATCAGGTACTTATGTTTTTAAAAAATCGATCATACTAGTATAGGTTGGAAGAGAATTAGCTAGTCAGTTTATGTGGAAAAAGATTTGTAGAATTCAGTTGACCACAAGCTCAGTGAGTCAATAGTGTGACACGTTAGCCAAAAAAGTTAACTCATTGTTGTACTGCAATACGCTGCCCTGGCCAGATCCTATTTGAAATGTCGTCTTCATTTCTGGGTAGTGTTAAAAAAAAAGAGGTAGTTTGTTTGTTTTTAGTGTTGGGAGTTCTGTAGACAGTAGATGACACCTTCTCTGGGATACTATCTGTGATATGGTATGAAATATTTTAAATCTAAATAAATTACTTTCCTAAAATAAAAAAAAACAAGGGAATTTAAAATTTATGTCATAAGAGGATCATTTCAAGTAGTAGTATCTGTTTAACTTATAAAATAAAAGAGCCGGGAGAGAATATTGTCCAATAGAAATCAGGTGAGATATGTTCTGTAGAGTTCCAGAAGAGAGAACCAAGACTAGTGGGTAACATTTAGAGGAAAGCTTTTGACTCAGTATAAGGAGGATTCTAAACTTGACATCATTTGTCTGACATAGAGATAATGCTGGGTTCCCAAAAGCTAGGAAAGGCAAGATATAAGCTCTGTAAGGGTCTACCAGGAGTAAGAAGCTTTAAGCACAGGCATGATGTGGGGCTGTACATCTGTCATCTGAAGGCCAGCCCAGCTAAACTTGAAGGGGCCACTTGAGAAGTGAAATTGGGACTGACCCTTACTACATGTGTCCTGAAACAGGTTTCTTCCCTTTTTTTATATCTCCGCTTCTTCACCTTTAAAAAGAGAGGTATTGGATTAGATTGATTTCGGCTTTCTATCCCAAGACCAATGCCAGATTAACCATAAGGACGTGAACATTTTGGCCGTATTTTGGTACTCACCAAAAAATCTACTAAATTATAAAGGAGTAGCAGTTTGTGTTAGGAGGGGAAAATGTGCACATTGGTGAAATCCCAGATCTTAAATGTGATTTCTCTTGAAGTAATGAGTTCCATGCCAATGGAGTTTGATTATGGCTGGCACTATTGTAGAAGGGTAATGGATTAGGTAATGTTTCAATTCTCTTCTAATACATTAAAATCTATCAAATTAAGAAACTACACTGGGCCTGCCTTCAACGTATTGATTTATATGCATATCTAATCCTTCTCAAATTGTAAACTCCTTGAGGATGGCTACTATGTCCTTTTCATTTTTGCATGATGCCTTATACATATTCGTTTCAAAATTTTTGAATTGCATCATCCTTGAGCTTTTTAACTGCTAACATAATCTGAAATTTGTATTTACAATCATTAAAACAAAAGGTCAACAGAGCATTCACTAGAAGTAAAGACCTTAGGGAAATAGCAGTTACTGTGCCACTACCTTTTCCCTACCCTTCCCCTACCCTCACTTCTTTTTAAGAGATTTGAATCCTGAACTTATTACACATCTGAAAATTGAGGAAATTTTATCTTGGTCTTGAAGTGGATACTGACTTATTTTTGCATTCTGAGGTTGGTCAAGGCTCTAAAAATGTTGACAAAGCTAACTTAAAAATTGACAGTCATTATATTATACATTATTTCCCATTGAAACAAAGATATTTTATATGTTACAATAGTTTCCTTTAATTTATGATCATTGAGATGGTTACATTAGTGGCAAACCATTTATCCAGAAGGTTAAACAGTGTAATATACTTGAAGCAATGCAGTTGGAGTCAGAAGACCTGAGCTCAACTTCTAGTCCAGTTACTCTCTACATATATGACTTCGTGCAAGTCTTTTGATGTCTCTTACCTTCAGTTTCTAGTACCTCCTTCCCCATTCACTACCAAAATCACTGAATTACAGAATTTGTGAGTTAGAGGGACCTCAATGGTCATCTGGTCCAATGCATAAAGGAATCCCCACCTCCCCACCATCTATAGCTAACAAGTGGTCCAGTGTGTGCTTGAACGTCACCAAGTAGCTGGATCCATCACCTTTGGAGGCCACTTATTGAACTCTAGGGAGTATTTCCTGAAATCAAGCCTAAAAATTACCTCCCATTGCTCCTGATTCTGCCCTCTGGGACCAAAGAGAACAAATCTCATCCTTCTTCCATGTGATAGCTCTTCATATACTTGAAGATAACGATTATATTCTTCCCTGGGTTTTCTCCAGGTTAGTCAGGCTCAATTCTTTGAACCAATTCTTATATGACACGGGCTCAAAGCCTTTCACCAACCTCTTTTTATATCACAGTAACTCAAGTGCCCTTCACCATCCTGATTTACTTCTTCTGGACATTCTCAAACTTATGAACGTCCTTTTAAATCATGGTGCCTAGAACTGAACACAGTATTCCAGATTAGATCTCAGTAGGCCACAGGATAGTGGGACAGTCACCTCCCTATTCCTGGAAGCAGTGTCCCTCTTAATGTGGTCTAAAATTCCATTAGTCCTTGACTGTCATATTACAGTGCTGACTTATTGAGCATGCAGTCCACTAAAACCCCAAATCTTTTTCAGGACTACTATATAATCATGCCTATCTGTGAAGTAGATTTTTTTTTAATACCCAAGTGCCCTACTTTACACTTACTGTATTGAATTTCATCTTCTTAGGTCCAACACAATGCTCTAGTCTGTTCTGTTTTGTTTTGGGTATTTTTGGTTGGTATTTTTTTTTTTTGGTGACGCAGTCAGGGTTAAGTGACTTGCCCAGGGTCACACAGCTAGTAAGTGTCAAGTGTCTGAGGCCGCATTTGAACTCAGGTCCTCCTGACTCCAAGACCGGAGCTTTACCTACTGTGCCACCTAGTTGCCCCTGCAATGCTGTATTCTGTCAAGATTGTTTTGGATCCTTAGACTGTCTCCAGTGTTTTAGCAATCTCTTCCAGTTTGGTGCCATCTCTGCATTTATCCATGTCATGGATTAAAAAATGTTAAATGACACAGGGTCAAGCACAACTCACAAGGGCAACTTCACTTGAAGCTTCCTGCCTTGTTGATATTGAACCATTAACAACTACTTCTTTGAGTCTAGCTGTCTAAACAAATCTGAATCCGTCTGATTGGATCTAATCTCTACCTTTCTATATTCTCACAACAATAGTGTGAGATACTTTATTAAAAAATTTGCTAAAATCTAGTTGTTAAGAAGAGTCCCCTCATCGACAAGTAGAATGGTCCTATCCAAAAAGGAAATGAATGATCTGTTTTCAATGAAGTCATCTTGTCTCTTTATAAGCATCCCTTCCCTATCTACAGGCTTGCTAATCATCTTTTTAATCTGAGATCTGTTTTAGAATTTTCCTGGGAATTGTAGCCAAGCTCACTGGGGTGTAGTTTGTATACTCTTCTCCTTCCCTTTTTTTGAAAACTGATGCAGCATTTGCCCTCTTCAGTCTTTCTGGTACCTTTCCTGTTTTTGGTGATCTTTCTTTTGTCACTAATAATATCTCTGCAATCACATCTGCCAGTTCTTTCAAGACCTGAGCATATAGTTCATTTGGATCTGATGATCTGAATTCATTAAGGTGCTCTCTTGTAATCTCCTTACAGATCTTAGGTATCAGCTACCTTTCAGTGATTTTTAAAATTTTGTCTTTTCCAGTGTGAAAGCTACTGTCCTTTGCAGAGAAAATAGAAATAAAATAGGAATGGAGCACGTTTGCCTTCAGTTATCATTGCCCCATCCAAACCAGGCAAAAATCTTAGCCTTTTTTTTGATCCTTCATTTTGTTCTCCCACCTCCCATTATCTTGGATTCATTTTGAAAATATTGTGCATGTAGTCATATTGTACACATTGTCTCACCCAATAAAATGTGAACTTCTTGAGGGCAGGGACTGTTTCACTTTTGCTTTTATTTCCCAAGACCCTACCATGGTGCCTGGTACATAGTAGGTGCTTAAGAAATGCTTGTGAGTTGATTTATTTATTTGTAAAGTGGGGGTATGATAATCCTTGCCCTGTCCACTTAGCTCAGTAGATTGTGAGAACTAAATATTATGTGAAAGCCATTTGTAAATGTCAAAGCAGTATGAAAATGAAAATGATCATGCACAGGACTCCATTGCACAGTTATTTACAAAACAAAAACAAAAAACTGTGCACCGGGTAATGTGCCTTGAAAAAGTCTCATATGACCAGTCTAAAAGGTAGGTCATGTCCTGACCCATAACCCTGCTCTTATGGAAGATTCTTTTGGCTTTTCTTTTTGTTGTTGCTGCCTTGTTTTTTAATTAAAGCTTTTAAGACATGATGATGCTATAATCCCTGTTCTCTAAAGTATGGTTTTGAATTTGATTTACAGGGCTAGGGCTATTGTAAATGACTGAAAACTTGTTTCAACACAATGGTTTTTTTGCTTTTGTATAACCTTAAAGGAAATTCTTTGAGATTCTGAAAACTGGCAGAATTTGAAGTAGACATTTGGGGTTTTGAATTACACGAGCAATAGAGCTTTTGTTCCAGCTGCTAGACTTTGGGTAGGAATGAATGGGAGTTTGGATATCATCTGATCAGCCAGCCTCAGTGTTTGGATGAAATGCTTCTTTATGTCCCTAGAGAAGTCACTTAATCCCAAATTAATAGACATGGGGAATTCAAATCTTCTGCCCTTTCTTTTTAATTTTTGTTTTATAAGTGGACAAACACCAGCAGAATCAGATTTCCAGCTCCTGGAGATTGCCCGCCGGCTGGAGATGTATGGAATCCGGTTGCACCCAGCGAAGGACAGGGAGGGCACTAATATCAACCTGGCCGTTGCCAACACAGGAATTCTAGTGTTTCAGGTGAGAGCCACTTCAGAATACTGTTCACAACCCTTAACCAGGAGATGGGGAAGAAAATTGGGCCTTTGAACTCAATTCCAGATTAACTATTAATTGAAATTGGTGGAGAGGATCAGGCAAAGTCGTACCCTTCCTATTGTTATTTTTGGGTGAGAGGAGGTAAATCCCCTCCCCCCTCACACCAGCCCACTTTTCTGTTTTCTTGCTCTATCACTTTGGTCTGTGTCCTAGAGAGAGGCCAACATGGCACAGTAGATAGAAAGCCTGCTTTGGAACCAGGAAAAACCTAGGTTCACGTCCTACCACTTACACATACTGGCTGTTACCTAAACTGTGATCAAGTCTCTTAACCTTGCAATAATGACGTAGGCAAATCTCTAAGACTTTAAGTATGAAGAAAAGGTGAAGCCTCCTACACTGGTAGAAAGTGTTTCCTATGTTAATTAAATCATAGGTCTGGTTCCTTTCACCATCCCTTTACTCGGTTAACTCTTGCATCCAATTTAATTAGCAGTTTTTCATATAATTAAGGAATCTTCAATTAAGGATTTATTTGGGTTATGAGAGCGTAGGAATTTATAATCCTTGCTGAGATCAACATATGTCATCTAATGTATCAAAAAAGACTTAGTATTAAGTCATGCTTTTTCCCTCAGCCCAGGAAATAGCTTTTTCATTATTGAATTTTTTCACAATGCTACTCTGGAGTAAGGTCTTAGTAATTTCATTCCAATTATAGTGTTTTCTATGATAGTAAGTGATTGAGGCTTTCTGTAATTATAATTATTTTGTGAAATGTGGAATACACATTATGTATATGCACATGTATAATTTATACAATACATACCTGTATACAATACAATAACCTATACATACACAATACACACATATACATACATGCATATATACTTGCATGCATATGTACATGCATGCATGCCAGACCTGTAAATCTAAGAAATTCACCAGGTGAGATATTTGTGCTATTGCGATTATTAGGTCAACATAACTGACTAGCAGATAAGCCTGTTAAACATCCTGTTGGCCTGCTTGCCAGTGTTGTCCACATTTTAACTCTGCTTGTTCTGATTACAGGAACCCAAAGTCATTCAGTGACTCCATGTGATCTAGCACATAAGCTCTCTTGAATGTAACCTGTAAACATATTAGATCCATGCTTTTCTCACCCAATGAAAGCAATTACCACTTGCTTTGATTTTCAGGCATTGGTGGAAGAGACATCTTTGCTTTCCTCAAATGCTATAGTGTCTTATGATTAAACTTCACCAAATTTCTTGGAATTGTAGTTAACCATTACATACCTATATTGTCAAGTTTTGTCTAAATCAAGAAAAATGACACTGGGGGCTTATTTCAGAGCTTTACCCTTCTCACATTTTAAGAAAATGGACGTTGCTGTTCCGCTCTTGTGCGTTGAGGGTTAATGACTGGCTGATTATTTAGGGATAGTTTTTCAGAGAGGGTTCAAAGAAATGTCTCTTTCTGTATCAAATAGCTTTAAAAATGTCACTATCTACTTAGGATATGTGGCAGAAAGGATCTGCCTTCCAAAACCTTTTTTTAATAGGTAAATGCAGTACTTGATAACATCACTACTGCAAAAGTGAATACAAATATATATTTACTAAAAAATATTAAAAACCCAAAGTAACACTAATCTACCATAAAGACTGAAAAAAAACATTTAAAGTTTCTCTCCAAATCCTGAAATATGAAAGCTAAATTCCTTATGGTTCCTTATTAAGTTGCTTCCCTTCCATTCCAAGCAATTTGAATATTGGAAATTACATAGTAAATTAGTAATATAAAAGTACTACATACTAAAGTTATAGTCTTTCATTTATTTATTCTTATAATGTTGAATTTGCTGCCCTTTTGCTTATACCTGCTGAATTCCTATGATTTCCCTACCAAATATGATCCAGTTGCCAAAACTTCAGAAGCCAAACATATAATAGTATATCTATAGCAGGCTTACAGACCATGCTTTAGACTTAATGAATGCCTGTCTGATAATTCAATTCCTTGTGTTTTCCAGTATCAGCCTTGTTCCTAACTCTTGGCTATGTCATTGAAAGTTCATCTGACACTGGAAACAATGAAGTTTGAATTTTTCAAGGTCAATTCAAGATGATAATCAATTCCTAATATGCTTAGATTTGGTAGTGAACATTGCATTCAAACAAAAGAAAGCAAAACAAATACTGGAAAGCAAACCCTGAGCAAAGGATTCATTCTGAGTGAGCTAGATGACTTTCACGGTGAAAACAAGGGTAATCTATCAGCTCCTCAGAGCTTCCAGTACCCATGCTGAACAGTGGTTGGTTGGTTTCATTGAACCAAAGAACTCAAGTTCAACCCTATATTTTCCAAGGCTTTGTTACGAGATCATTCACAAGAGTCTAGCCAACTTTTTTAAGAACATGATTGTGTCCCTTATGAACTAATGATGTGTTAATGTCCTTTTATGATTTGTGGACATATCCCTTGAATTTGCTGTAGTATTTCATTGGACAGCTGTGTGTTTTATTGGATGGTTTTGTGTTTCTTCCTAGGGTTTTACTAAGATCAATGCCTTCAATTGGGCTAAGGTGAGGAAGCTGAGCTTCAAAAGGAAACGTTTTCTCATCAAGCTACGCCCTGATGCTAATGTAAGTGGGTCAGGGAAATTTAGGGGAGACCTAGTTTGGATATCCGAGTACAAATGAAATGAATATTTAGGGTATGTTTTTGGTTTATTGAATTGAATTTGTGGAATTGATTTTGACAACTAGTAAGATGCCCTTGTGAATTGGAGTTGGCGTTTCCATAATTAGAAAATGAAGCCAAATGGGAAAGTAGCTTCTTAACTATCATCTTTATGAGTGGCAATGGCAGGTAGTAGGTAGGATATTTGAAATCGGGAAGACCTAGGTTCATAACCCACCTCAGACATTTCCTAGCTATGTGACCCTGCACGAGACACAGAGCTTTTCTTTGTTTCAGTGTTCTCATTTTTAAAAAAGAGATGTTTAAACTTAACGTCTTTTTCTGCCTCTAAATCTATGATCCTTAGTAAAGAGAGAATGTACTGGCAACTGCATAAGGGTAGATAGGGTGTCTAAGGCTAGTAGTGTAATTAATTTTTATAAATTCAGGAAATACCCTTACATGTATATTGCTGCACTCTTGGGGCCCCAACCAGAATTGCCACCTACAAAAAGCTGCTTCTGATATCCAGAAGGAATAGAAAATACCCTCCCAAGTCTCTTCTGCCCCACTGTCTCTTTTTCTTCTCATCATCCTTATTACCTAGCTGGAGCCCTTGATAACCCCAAAAGCATCTACCAGCCACTAGAGTCCCTACCTCTCCCTCCCCTCCCCCATGTTAAGCCTTCTACACTTCCATTCTGTGGACCCTGCTCCCCACCTGAGTCAATAGTAGCAATATCTCAGACCAAGGAATTCCCTAAAATTCTTCAGGTGTAGACATTCCTTCTTCAGAGGAAAAAAAAATACTTGCTCTTATGACAGGTACTATGGAAACAATAAATGCATTTCTGATATCTCTACTTTGAATATAAACCATGTTTTCTCATAGTAATGATGTCACAAATGATGATTGGATTCTAAAGTATGGACTAAATAGGCTTTTTCAGACTGACCTGGGTACTCAGTTTTATTTGTAGTATTCTTTCTATGTAAAAATGCACTCAACTTCCAAACAGTTGACTAAAAATAAAATTTTGAAATATAGTCTGTTTGTTTCTTGGGGATTGTGTGTCAGATAAAGTCCCTGTGAAAATTTGATGTTCTTAAGAATTATAAGAAGCATTGTTATAGATAGATTAGATAGATAGATGGATGGATGGATATCTAGATATATACATGGACAGCTCGGTGGCTTAGTGGAAAGAGCACTGGGCCAGGAGTCAAGAAGACCTGAGTGTAAATCTGGACTCAAACACTTACTTGTTGTGTGTCACTTTACCCTGTTTGCCTCAGTTTCCTCTTCTGTAAAATGAGCTGAAGAAGGAAATGGCAAACCATCCAGTATTTTTGTTAAGAAAACCCCAAATGAGATCATGACTGAAATAAGTAAACAACAACAACAACAAATAAATATATACATACACACATGCGTGTATATGTGTGGATAGATATTAGATGGATGGATGGATTGATGGATGGATGGATAGCCTTTTCAGTTAGGGGCAGTTAATGGTAATGGGGATATATTAGGGTCCTAAAGAATATCACGGCATCCTGTTTCCAGAAGCAAAATATGTAGACTTGTTAGCTTAAGGTGGAACTTTGGTTCCCCTGGAAATGATTTTCCTTTCCAGAATGGTACCTGATTCCTCCTTTAGGCCTGACACACGTTCTAAGAAGACGTAAGATAATATCTCAACATTGGCATGAAACCTAAGGAAGAAAAATTACGAACCTTAGACTAAGGTTCTAAGGCTTTACAAGAGCGTTTCTATACTTAGGCATGTCTAAGCATAATTGCAAATGAAGAATGTGTATTTTGTTTATGAATTCTATTAAAGAAATTTGATCAGTCCTGCTGGAAGCCAAACTTTCTTTGTTAGTTCTTCTGGGCAGGATTAAGTGTGTGGAGAATTAAATGTATGTGCGGAATTATGATTTAGATCATCACTGGCAAGGATGCTTCGCCAAACATTAAAAGGGAATGTTTACCCTAGCAAATTAAAAATTGAGATGAAATATGGCCTCTTACTTTCCCATCCCCTTTCTTTTTCATAGCTCAGTCAGCTCTTCTGTAGGTGACAAAAGGAAAAACAAAGTCAAAATTTTCTTTCTCTTTAGAGCTCATATCAGGACACATTGGAGTTCCTAATGGCCAGTAGGGATTTCTGCAAGTCCTTCTGGAAAATATGTGTGGAACATCATGCCTTTTTCAGACTTTTTGAAGAGCCTAAACCAAAGCCCAAGCCTGTTCTTTTCACAAGAGGGTCATCATTTAGGTTCAGGTAAGGTAGAGTGTATCCTCAAGACCTAAGACTGCAATTTGTCACTTCTGAAATATTTCATTGAAAGTTACCTTAAATTGAATTCCTTCTGTGACTGAAGTGTTAGCATTTGCAGCCGATATAGCTATTTTATGTAATAGGGGCACTACTTGAAAACCATTAGTGTCTGCGAGCAATGAAAAGTAAAGTTTTTACTGAAATGTCCAAATGGTAGAAATCCAATGCTTTCAAAGCAAAGCCCCTTGGTATTCCCTTTCATATTTGCCATCAACAATAGATTTAAAACTATAAACAGCCTTTCTTTCTAGGAGTGAAAATAATTTAATAACCTCTGTTGAATCTGAGGTATCTTATTATACTTACCTGTCTTCAAAGAAAGAGTACACAACAATGGCAATGCATACAATTATGCAGTAACAAAACACAAAATCTTCATGAACAATGCTTTCAGAAATGGGACCTTCCCCCCCACTCACACTCATTAGTGAAACCCAGAGCTTCTGAAGAATGGGAAGGAGAGGATTCTGTTGTTATTATTGTTTTCATTTCTTACACATTGAAAAGTTTATTTAAAGTATAACAGTTCACTATTCTGGAAGAAAGGAGAACAAGATGATAAATCTTTGTGTTTCTCTGTATAAATGACAACAATTGTGTATTCTTCTTTCTCTTCCCATAATTGTGGTCTTTATCCTAGTGGTCGGACTCAGAAGCAGGTTCTTGACTATGTTAAAGAAGGAGGACATAAGAAAGTTCCATTTGAAAGGTGAGAGAAACTTTGATGCTATTTCTGATTTGAGGGCAGTGATACTTTCCAGGTAACTTTTCATAGTTGCCAAGAATGTCTGTCTCCATAAAGGCTCAATGTCTTATCATAGACCTGCTGCTTATTAACTATATTCCCAACCCCTACACTGACCCTGGGCGAGTAAACTCTTCTTCTTTATTGTATATTTTTTAGTGTCTTCTCAGGGGACACTTCTTTTTTTTTTTTAGTACTATTTTATTTTTTCCCTAATTACATGTCAAATCACTTTTTAACATTTAAAAAAAATTTTTGAGTTCCAAGTTCTGTCCCTTCTTCCCTCCCCTCACCATGCCTTGAGATGGTGAGCAATCTGATATAGGTTATGCATGTGCAATCATGTAAAATATTTTCATATTAGTCATTTGTGGAAGAAAACTCAGAAAAGGAAGGAACTTCAGTCTGTATTCAAACTCCATCAGTTTTTTCTGTGGAGGTGGATAGTTTTTTTCATAATGAGTCCTTTGGGATGTCTTGGATCATTGTATTGCTGAGAATAGCTAAGTCATTTCACAGTTCATCATGTAGTATTGCTGTTACTATGTACGACGGTCGCCTGGTTCTGCTCACTTCACTCTGTATCAGTCCATGTAAGTCTTTCCAGTTTTTTTTTTCTTAAATCATCTTGCTAATCATTTCTCATAGAATAATAATATTCCATTACAATCTTATGCCACTTGTTCAGCCATCCCTCAACTGATGGGCATCCCTTCAATTTTCAATTCTTAGCCATCACAAAAAGAAGCTGCTATGAATATTTTTATACAAATAGGTTCTTTTCCCTTTTTTTTTAAAAATCTCTTTAGGTTACAGTCCTAGTAATGGTATTGTGAGGTCAAAGGGTATGTACAGTTTTATCGCCCTTTGGGAATGGTTCCAAATTTTTTTCCAGAATGATTGGATCAGTTCAAAATCAGGGGACATTTCTGTATCTGTGTAAAGGAGTATGAGAGAAAGAAACAGGCCAAGAGCATTAAGCAAGGAATGAGGGCTATTCATCTAAGGATAGAAGAGAAAGACTCCCATTGGGGAAAAAAAAAAGAACAAAAATACAAAACAGAAAATTGAGTATGAAGGATTGGAAGGGAATACTAATATGGGGCTAATCACACAGTAAATATTTGTTGACCTTAAACTTCATGAGTTTTTATGAGTTTGTAAATTAGATAAGTCATGGATGAGAAGATAGGATTAGAAAATTTAGCATGGAGAAGGGGAAAAAAGGAATGAAAAGAGAGACTATGACAGGAAAGTAACAAAATGTCAAAAAAAATAGGTGAGAGTATGGCAATTATTTGGATTATTACTTTAAAAGAATTTATTTTTTTTAATGCAGGAAAAGTTGTAGGTTAAATTTGAATATAATTAAGTCCACGTTCTTCTCATAAGTCATCTTTAATAGCATTTTCATCCTGAGATAGTAATCTTTTCTGGATCTTTAAGTCATCAATAAATGATCTTTATTTAATTTTTGCATTTTTAACATGTGAAAATGCCTTGCAATTCAATTTTTATTAGTAACATCAAATTTTTGATAGTTATATAACTTGCTTTGTTTCATTACATTTCTCAGAAAAAGTTCCTAAGTTTCTATTCAGTTTTATTATTTTTCAGAGGAAGGGGAAAAGTAAAGGGAGATGTTATTGATGAAATTGTGATTCAGTTCAGCTGCTGAGATTGAGCTTAAAATTGCTGTGACCCCAAGATAAGTGTCTTATCATAGATATCCATTCTTATTGGCAGGCTGCTGCTTCTTTTCCTTTGAATTTCAAGTACTAGATAGTATAAGCTGATTAAATAAGTACTGTCTGTTTTATAAAGCTGACCTAGAAAGTAAATATATAAAATACACAGAACTAATTACAAAATGTTAGCCTGGAGCTTGCTGCTCAGAGTGTGCCAGATTCCATGGAATTCTCTGTCTCCATTGACATTTGCAAGTTGTAAGGAATTTCTAAGATTTGTAATGATCCTTGAAACTGATTCGACTGTGACCTTCTCAATGATACTTAAGTAACTCATAAGGCGTTCTAGGGATGAGAAAAGGCAGAATTTTAAGTCACTTTCAGAACAAATTATAAAAGCTTGCTTTGAGGAGTTGGGGCTGTGGCTTTTATTTTTGTGAAGAAAGTGTTCAGTGTTAGTTTCTCATGGAGAAAAACTTTATATAACTTAGCTACCTGATGTGATTTCTCCCAGGAAGCACAGCAAGATTCGGTCAATCAGAAGCCTCTCTGCTCAGCCTTCCGAACAGAACTCAGAGGTGCCAAAACAAGTCAGTAATGGTGATAAGTATCCAGTATTGTGCATATGTTATTCAAGTGGCTTCTTCTAATTAGTATTGCTAAATATTTTACTTTCACTATTCTTCATACTTAACTTTAGCAATTTTAATCTAATTTTAGTTTTAGCTTTTTTTATTTTATCAGTTTTTGCAAAGTCTCCAGTACAAAAGCATGAAGTTCTATTATGTATGCCCAAACTTTAGACCATCGGTTTCTTTTAACTCTCAGCCTGGAATTAAAATTTACCATGGGGTCCCATGGGATTCAACCCACTTGGTGTTTCCTATTCAGTTGTATGTGTGATATGAACCCTAGAGAAGGCTGCCATGTTGTCACAAATTTAGCTAAATGGTGAAATTGAAGAAGTCTGTTTGTGGAGCTAAGGTCTCCATCAGCTAAACAGTTTCACTTGCTTGAAAAGATTAGAAACCGTTATGCTAGCTGACGGGTGTAACTGCAGCTTATTGCCAAGGTCCTAACCCTTAGTTGGCATCAAACTGAGAAATGAGTTCCCAGGGTTTATTTTACAGGGCAGCGACTGCTATTCTCAACAAGGGGCATTATCACTGTGTTGTTCTGAGGGTGGCTAAAGCATATTTTCCTGGAGGTAATTTCTGGAAAAGTTTTGAGTTTTCTCTGATGGAGAATAAGAACCTTGTTAAGGCTTAACATTAAGGAATTCCATTATATAAATATATCCATTCAGCACATAGAATTTAGGCACAGAAGTTTTTTTTTTTCCCAAAGATTTTTTGTAAACTTGTCTTTATAGGTCTATGACAGATTCCCTTCTTCTATTGCCCCTGAGTTCCCTAGAGCTGAGATGGGATGAGAAGGGTTTCTTTGTTTCATGTAAACTTCAAACACTAAATCAGAACTTTTGTATGCTCCTGGAGAGCAGGGGCCAGCATTTGTCTGGCACACTTTGCGTATGTGATACAGCACCGAGCATAGAATAGTAGGAGACCGAGGTTTGTATCCTAGCTTTACCTACGGAGTGTGTGACCTTGGGCATAGAAGGTCACTTCACCGTTTTAGGTTTCAGTCTCTTCATCTATAAAATGACCAGGCAAGACAAGATGATTTCTGAGGTCCTTTCAAGCTAAAATTCTGTGTTCCTAAATTCTTTCTGTACGATGTTCAGATATAATGAATTTATACTTATTACACAATGCTTTTCAAAGCAAATGAGAAAGTATATGAAAATGCTTTGAAAACTTGTAAGTGTTGTATCTATGATGTGGGCAGTATTACTATATTTACATACTATCTGGAGGAGCTTATTATTATTATTATTATTATTATTATCATTATTATTATTTCTCCCAGTACCCAGACTAAGTACTAGTTTGCATTGACAGAGAAAGTGTCTACATTGGGAATTCCCTATATCAATTACAGATCTGGTCTAACCACCCTCCCCCCACCTCTTTACAAATAACCCACTAGAAACTGTAGTTTTAATGAGATTTTATTCATTTGGATTCAGTTATAGGGAAACAAATCAAACCAAGAAGTCCAAAAAACCCAATCTTATTCTCTTCCCTTCATTTTCTCTACCTTCTCTTCCTATCTCTGTTTTCCTGTTTACCCTCCCTTTCCACTGCAGAGCTCAAGTTTTACCTATGGAGATGGTGCTGATTCACCAGGAGGCCAGAGTTGCCACCAAGGGAAAGAACTGAACATTTCTGCTGAGGAATCCGGACAACACAGGAGCCCTTCTCTAAAGAAGAGTCCCAAGGGTGGCCAGCGGGTTGATGGTGTGGTGATGACAACCATGGAGGAAGAGGAGGAGGTCGTTAAGGATAGAACGCGGCAGAGTAATCCTCAGTCGCAGCAGCCAAGCACAGGTCCAGCATCGAGGGCTGCTCGGGGCAGCAGCACCTCCATTCCTTTCATTGACTGCAGTGATGTAGATAGTGAATATGACCTTCTAAGAGAACCAGTAACTCAGTTGCATTCCCCAACAAATGACAATCATGAGGGTGATTTGACCAGTGGTGTTTATATGCTCTCTAGAGATGAAAACTGGAACAAGCCTAGGCACAGGGATTCCCCCAACTCTTGGAAGTCTTCCCAGCCTATTTCCAGAGAGTACATTGATGATGATTTAGAAGACATAACCTTTTATGGCAGTGGGAGCCCCAGACTTCAAAGACATAGCTCCCTGGTGGATGAAATGTTTAGGGGGTCTGGTAATTGTAGTCCTCTTGCCACTCCGTTGTCTCCTAGTAGCAGAGGATCAAGTCCTAATTTGAGTTGGGATAGAACTGGGTCTCAAGGCTATGTCTCAGAAAATGGGCATGACTATAGAAGTACAGTTATGGAAGAGGACATTGTCCCAAGCAGACATCTTCATTTTGGAAATCATTCCCCTGTCTTGCAAAGGCCACACTTAAAAAATGTTTCTCGTGCATTTAATAAGTCAGAAACAGACCCATTCATCCTTAGCCATGTAGTCTCAACCCCAGGGGAAGAAAGCAGGCTAGACAGCGATGGAAAAGGAGAACTCACCAAAATGGCTAGTTCAGAAGGCAAAGCGTTGGCAAATGGCGTAGCTGTTCTTGGCCCAAATAAGAAGCTTGGGTGTGCCAGTGGTATGATAGATCGTATGGCTGCTATTCAAATAGCAGAGGGCTCCACCAGCAGTGGAACTGAATCGAGTGATTCAGACTCTGAAATAGTAAGCCCCTTCAACCAGCCCCTCATGTTTGGTAATCCTGTTGTGCTGAATTCCCCTCCCTTACCTAGGAACAGGCATTCCTTTGGTAATCTACGGATTGATGAGGAAACAGAGTAGGGGGCGTGTGTATGTCTCTTTTAACGATGAGGATGGCATGCACATCTTTAGCTGCTAGGAGTCTGGGATCATAGATCCTGAATTTGGATTGGGGCCTCCTCTCTGATGACTCGTTCATTTTCACCACTATTTATTAGAAAGAAAGAAAAAAGGTTTGTATAAGCAAAGTTTTAGGTAGTATACATAATATTTTTAAGTTCTTAATGGAAAAAACTCAAATGACTGGACAGTATAGCTTTCTTCAACATTTGTTTAACCAGATAGATAAGAGAAATGACAATAATGGATCATCATAATATGTCTGTTAATGCTTTCTTTTTTGATGGTAGCTAGCAAAAGGAGGTTCATAATCAATTTAGTATGACTTGTAAGTGAGTTGTGTTTATGCAGAAAATATTCATTCAGGTCCAGTCATGTAAAGCAGATTGTCTTTATGTTGATTAATTGAGTGCTTGAGCTGGATTGTCTTTGAAATTACAGGAAGGCATACTGGCTTTACTCGACTCCTTAAGAGGAGATCCACTTTTCAGTGTCTCATAAATAGGGGTAGGGGTGAAACTTAATTCTAGGCTACATGTAAGTTGTTATTTATAATCAAATCTTGATGAAACATCGGTCAAAAATAATGCACATTTTGGTGGGAAGAATTTATTTGGTTTTGCTTCTCTCCCAGACTTATCTAAATTGGTATTAAAGTCAGCATAATGTCCACTAACTATAACTTAATGAAACATGGTTAGTTTCTGAGTAGTTGGTGGAAAAAAAATGTTGTTGGTCAGTAGTCTTGAGAAATTCTGGTCCTCATAATCTCTATATGAAAGAAAAACATTATTGACTGTTGATGTTGAATGTTGGCCAGTAGATTGGATGACTAAATAACTATCTCTAAACAGGGTACGACACAAGAGAATATTTTCCTGCATGGTTACCTCTATATTTACACTTTTATTATACTTTGTAGGTTCCCATTCTTGCTAAAAATAACTGGAGTCTTTTACTGACCAGAAAAAAAAAAACAAACTTACATGGACAAGACCTTATAATTGACTATATTGTTGACTATATATGTCAACTATATAGTTGACTTATTTTAAAGGTACCTCCTTTGTGTTGATGCCTTTTTTTCATTGTTTTGGTATAAAGAAGTAAAGAATCTTGTCCTTCAAAAAGTTCATTCTCAGCCAGACTCCCACCCCTCTCCCCCCAGTGCAAAATACTAGACATTGAAGTACTTTGGTACATATGTATGCAGGAGTTGGAGAAGTATCAAAGTAATGTTTTCATGCCTTTTATTTCACTACTTGCTCCATTTGTTACTAATGTGACTCATGGAACAAATTTTGTAGCTATTAATTAACCACCAAAATGTTGAAATGGGTTGCAACTGTGAAATCCCTGCCAGTGACCTTACTGTAATCATTTTATGACGTCATATTTTAGGAAGAACTGGATATATTTGGCTAACTTAAGTAGAATTTGGCAGTAATATAAGCTCAATAAAAATATTGGTTGACCTCAAGTGAACCATAAATAATTATCTGCCCATATGAATGTTGATCAGATTGTGTTAAATATTCTTAAAACTTCATCAGTTCTAATTCAGTTTTTTTTGTTGGTTCTGGAAAACTTCCATTTTCCTATTGATTCAGAGGGTAACTTAACATTTAGCTTGATTCTTGATGAGTCTGAGAGATGTTTGTACTATTAGCATACTTGGGTGTTTTTTTTTTCCAGATTAAATTATTTCACAGAATTTCTGAATTTTCGATTTGAGAGTATCATTAGTGGTCATCTATTGAACATTCATATTTTACAGATGAGAAAAGTGATACCTAGAAAGCAAAAGTGACTTGCTAGAGTCATGTGACTAATTAGGGGCAGAATCAGGACTAGAAACTCAGCTGTCCTCACTCCCAGTCTAGGGCTCTTTGTATTACGTGTGGTGCTTTATAGAAATGAGTTTGTTTTTTTCTTTTAATTTATCTCCGTATTTCAGTTTAGAATGTTTTCTAATGGATGAATATTTGGATTTGGAGAGTAGTAATAATCATATAGAATTTCCATAGGGAATAATAGTTGACTGATAAATGGTATGACTATCTGATTCTTATATTATAGTTATTTGAAGGTAAAGCTATTAGATCTCACTAAAGTAAAAGTTTTCTTGTACATGCCGATGTTTTTTACTTAGAAATTGATGTCGAGTGAGTGCCCCAACGGCATTCAAATGTAGATTGAGTGGAACCAGGTGTGTTATTACTCTGTGGAGTCTTTAGCTGTGCATTGTTCATAACTATACCCTCAATTCTTTTCTTCTGTTGACACTTACATAATATGTTTCTGAAATAGGTAGTCAAATGAATTGAAACCTTGTACAGTGTACAGTGTATAAATACCAGAGATGAATTTTCAAAGACACATGGGTACAATGTAGCCAGTTTCCTTTCTCAGATGTAGTTTGATATCAAGTATTTTAGAGAAGGTGTTTAATTCTAGGATAGATCATGTCTGTGAGGACAAAACTGTCTACCTTTTCACTGGTATTTAAGCAGTTTTCTTCTTTCTATTTTGTAGTAACCAAGATGTGTTCCTTATCTATTCTTTATAAGGTTCCAAACTTGAAGTGGTTGTGTTTTATTTTATGCGAATGCCCTCTGCAGGGACAAAGATGGAAACCAGTTGCCATGGCTAAAATTGTGATCACCTAGTGACCAACAACGTCTTAAGCTACTCCAGTGTAGCTTGAACTTAGTCTTAGGTTTGGAGACATACAGACCATCACTGGATCTGCACTTGGAGCCTTTCCAACTTGGTGGGACCTTCCAGATTTAGAATGGCACATATGTAGCCTCTGGGAATCCTAGGTTGCCTCTATTACAAGATGAGACATCAGTGGATGACTTCTGTGGAGGTTACCTAGTCCTACTTCCTTACTATTTCTGAAAGGAGTAATGTTGGCATCATTAGTTTTCAGTCAGCAGATCCCTAAGCATAAAGTTTTTAAAAGCACACCTATTAGTGTCCTCAGAAAATCAAAAACATAGTGGATGCTATTATTTCTAGAAGACATCCTGTCTTACATTAACACATTAAAAAAATTTTTTAAACAGTAATCAGATAATTATTCTAAACACGTTTATAGCCCAATTAAACAAATAGATGACATACTTCGTTTTTTTGGTTTTGTTTTTTTATCTTGTTTTTGGTGAAGCAATTGGGGTTAACTGACTTGCCCAGGGTCACACAGCCAGTTGAGTATCATGTATCTGAGGCTGGATTTGAACTCAGGTCCTCCTGACTCCAGAGCCAGTACTCTATCCATTGCGCCATCTAGCTGCCTCAATGACGTACTTTGCATATTGTACATGGTGTATAACATAGGATAAAAGCTAGGGACTCTGTCAGTACATCCTGTGGACTCTTTTCCCCCAGAAACTTTCCATTCTCTAAACACATTTCACTTCATCCTACAGAATCTGATTGTGTGGCATGTAAGCACAAACATGTATGAAGTAAGTTCTGCAGTAGGTTAGGAGGATGTTAAAAATTTACTCAGATGCCAAAAGTGATTCTTGTCAGATGGATCAACTGGTGCTCACTTTCTTTAAGGCAATATATGATCTTTAGAGCCTATTACTCTGTAGTCAGAATAACCCTTTAAATGACCAACATATCATAGTTGCCCTAAGAGTTAATGGTTTTAAGGCTCAAGTATGTAAAACAAATCATATTTTAAAGTAGAAGGCTTGGCAGTCATACCCATATCCTTAGTAATTAGTATTTTCCTTTTCTTTTGTTGGATAATATTGCAAGGTATTCAGACTGCAAAATGTTTTTTGTTCTTTAGGTTTTTTTTTCTCCTTAAGACTGAATCAACCTGTAAGAAATTCTTTCAGTGTAAAGAAATGTACTTAATGAGTTCCATAACTTGAAGTGAGTAATTCCAACCCTCTATGACAATCATCTGTATGCTATTGAAGTTGTGTGATTAGACAGACATTTAATTAAAGGCAATCTGTGGGCCAGATTCTTTCATAGATATGTGATGGG